TAGTCTTGCTAAAAAAAAAAAAAAAAATATTTAAGCCTAGAATAAGGCAGCTTAAAAAAGTACTACTTAAGGCTTAAGTTTACTAGGCAGACGCAGTATTATTAAAGTAAAAAAAACTAGAGCAAAAAAAGCTAAATAATAAATTATTAGGATATTTAAGGCTAGGGGGGCAAATAAAAAAAAAAAAGTTTAAACTAGCCTAAAAATAGCGCTACTAGTAGAAATTAATTAAAAAAAGCTAGGGCAAAAGCTAAGCCTAAGGCAGAAGCTAAACCTAAAGCAAAGGCTAAACCTAAAGCAGAAGCTAAGCCTAAGGCAAACCTGTTAACTTATTTTATATTAAAAAAAAAAAAAATTCTTTAAAAAAAGAATGCTTGTACTAGCGCTAAGAAAAAGTAAAAAAAGAATACTAATTATAAATAATAGGCAACTAGTTATAATAGCTGTAAAAAAGCTTAGGAAGTTTTTAGTAAACTTAAAAAAAAGTTAGCTTATTGCTACTATTAATAAAATTAATAAAAAAAATATATTAAAGTGCTTTTGCATTATTGCGCTAAAAAGACTATTTTAAAGCTAATTTATAAAACTTAATTTATTAAAAAAAATAAGTAAAAGCAGACAAACTAGCCTAAATATAGTAAAAAAGAATTTTAGGAAAGAAAAAAAATACTTATATTAATACTAGTAAGTAATATATTTATAGAAGCTTAAAAAGTATTAAAATAAGTATTTTAGTTCCTAATATAAGTATAGATTAAATTAATAGCTTAATTTATAGTATTTATTATACTATTTATATACGCGTTTAGTTCTTAACTAGTATAGCTATAAAATAAAGTATAAAAGACAATAGCTAAAGCTTCTTCTATAGTAGTATAAGGGGGGTTACTTATAGCTTATTTAAAGCTATAAGCAATTTAGAACAAAAATAAAGTAATAGTATTATAAATAATAGTATTATAAATATCTTTATAGTAATAGCGCAGCATATAAAATTATAAATTAAACTAATAGTGCGTATTAGCTGTATAATGTACTAAATTAATACTATAAGTGCCCTAAATAATAATATATAAATTATTATTAAAGTTAGACTTATTATAGTAGTTTTACTAAGCTTAAAAAGCCTAGTAAAAGTTAAAGTGCGTAGCAAAAAAAGCATTTTTATACTTATATATTTTTTTACTTTAGTAGTAAGCAGAGCATAACTAATTAAGCCTATTTTAGTATTTAGCATAATTAAACTTTTTTATAATACTAATATACTTAGTGTATATTTAGCCTTAAGTAAGCATCGCCTTAAGTTTTTTATTATTAAAATTGCTTTTAGTAATATACTGCCTAAATTTGCGCACTAGCTTAGCTAAAGTACTTAATTAAAAAAAAAATTAGCTCTATTACAGCGCTATATAAAAAAACAGCATATATTTTAGCAATAGCTGCTAAAACTACTATAACTACTGCTAAGTAAGCTACTACTACTACTTAGAGCAAAAGATTAAAAGCTAAAAACAAAGTTGCAAGTTGCTATAGTAAAAAAATAAGCAGCACTATAAAGCTAATATAAAAAAAAAAGCTTATAAAATAAAAGTATAAAAAAAAGCAAAAAAAAGGCGTATAAAAGTAGTTTTAAAAAAAAATAACTAAAAAAAGAAAATTATAAGTTCTTGCTTAAAAATTTATTTAAGTTTAGTATAAGCTATTATTATAAGTGCGCAAAAGCTAACAATCTTTAAAACTACCTAAAACTTTTTTAAAAAAAAACTATACTAGAATATTATAAAAATCTAATAATATTACAACTAGCCTAAAGCCTAAAGAAGGGGGAGAACTTTTTCTAGAAATAAGGGGGTATATTATAGCTTAGGCTTTAGCTTAAGCCTTAGTATTTGCAGATTAAAAACTTTAGCAAACTTTAGCAATAAACTTTTATATAAGTAGCTAGAAATCTCTGTACCTCCTTAAAGTATATAATACTATTATTTACGCTTAGAATAGAACAATCCTAAGGCTAGTCTATAATAATTGTATAGCTGCAACAGCAGCTTAGGCCTCTATTTTTAAAGTAAACTATTTTACTTTTTATTATTTTTGCAAGTAAGAACTACCTTTTAGCTTAATATAAAAAAAATAGCCTGCCCTATAATTAAGTTATTGCAGTTTTTAAAAATAGCTAAATAATAAATAAGCTTATTTTTAAATAGTTAAAGCACTTTAATAAGCATACTAAAAAAAAAGTTATTAGTATTTATTATCTGCTTATTATTAATAGTTATAAGAACTATATATTAGTCTAATTCTAATAGTACTATAAAAAATAAAAAATTATTACTTTTTATATACTTTTACATTTATTGCACTTACTATAGCTACTTAATATAAGTTATTTTGCGCTTTTAAAAAAGGCGTATAAATACTAAGCTAAAAAGCTAATGCGCAATAGTATTAACTATATTATTAAAATTAAATTTTTATTATATTTTAAACTAGCTTTTAATACTACTATTATAAAAAGCAATATTTTAGGTAGCTTTAAAAGCGCTAGTCTAGTTTTTTTTAATTTTAAAGCTATAATATTAAAGCTTAATATTTAATTATATATTTTATTACTACCTACTATTAAAAATAGTTTTTAGGAGTTAAAAATACTAAGCAATACTTTAAAATTTAAATTTTAATTAATATTAATTAAAATAAAAATTTAAAAGTACTTAAATAGTTTTTTTACTTTAATAGTTAAAGTTTTTAAAAAAATTTTAAAAAGTATAGCTATAGTCGCGCATAAATTTATATTAGCATAAAAAAAAATTGCTAAGCTTTAAGTAGCTAATAAAGCTACTATATAATAAAAATTACATAAAAAAAAGCAAGTATAAAAAAAGAAAACTTTTATAGTAAAAAATAATTTTTAATTAATAATTCTAAAAAAGTTTAAAGCGCGTAGTAATAGAAAAAAAGTAAAAAAGTAAGCGTATATTAAAGCAGGTAAGCCCTTTTAAAGGCGCTATAAATATTATAGTAAAGCTAAGTATAACGTGCAAATATATAAGCAAAAAGTAAAAATAGTTTTTAAATAAATTAGTTTATTATAATTTACTATTATAGTTTTTTATAGTACTATACTGTCGTGTATAGTACTAATTTTAGTAAAATTTTAGTATTATAACTAACTTAACTAAGCAACTAACTTGCCTGTGTAATATATTAAAATATTTTTTTATATTTAATACTGCTAACTAGATATAAATTAAGCCTTATACTAACTATAAATTATATAATACTAGCTAAAATAGCTTTTTTTTTTGCTATTATAAAAAGCTTTACTTTTAGTATATATATATTTTTTAAAAATATTACGCTAACAATGTTACCTGCAACTAAATCTAGGCTATATATAATATTTTGCTATTTTTATAGCTTTTCTAATAACTTCTATACTTAGACTAAATTATACTATATTTAATAGCGTTGCTATTTTAAAATTAGAATGCTAATAAAGCTATATAGAAATAAAAAAATATTAAGCAGTAACTAGGCTAGCACATAAGGCGCGTGGCTTTAAACTTATAATTAGGGCGGAAGCTACGCTTGAAATTTATTAGGTAGAAAATGGCGCGGATCCTCGGTGGCACCTTGACGCTTGTGTGTTTCGGTGTTGCCGTTTCGCGTAGGCTTCGTCTCTGCATCCCACGCGAACGTCAGCCACGACGAGGCTTGACGACGCCCAAAACCATGATGAAAGTCCAAATTAAGCATTGCAGGTCAGCGAATGAGGTGGCAGAAGCGAATCAAGATGCGGCACTGGGATGCTGTCATGCATGTGTGGAGCGGGAGGGAGACACGTAGGGTTTGGTGGAGATGAAGATGAACCGTCTTGGACGGGGCAAGTCGTAGAATTGGGCTGGGTATTGACAGAAATGATGATAGAGAAGGACAGCGTCGACGGGTGTGTTGGAGCATTACAGGCATTGCTTCTTCGGTCCTTTAGGCATTGCGAGTCTTCATCTACCACGACAAAGATGATGCTGGACGGCTGTACGCCATGGTGGACCCACACCTCACGCTTTCCTAGACGCGTCCCGAGCCGAGTGATGATTCCTTTTTATTCCCGCCTTATTCCATCTTCTTCTGCATGCCCCTGAGCTCCTCTAAGATCTACAGTATTCCTTCCCTTCCCGTACATGTTTTCACAATTATTATCTGTGACTTGATATAGCAAAGAGTACAAAGGACTACTAGTCCCTGTCGTCGAGGCTCCGCTCGGTTCGGTGTCAGACTTCAGCCTTACGAGCTTACGAACGTACTACCGACCAAACAACCCCGCGTTACGAATCTTTCGACGTAGCCCGCAGTCAGCCGCACTGTAATCCGTGACTACAGCTTTCTTCGTGCATCTTTCTTTTCTTACCCACCTACCGCCCCCGATCCTGCGTTGCGATAAACTCCTTCAGACGATCAGCAACTAGACTCGATCAAATCGCATTTGGACGTCGACCGCCCGCGGCTACTGCTCGGCTTCTCCTCCCGCCGGAACGCGCAACCACTTCACTTCCCCTACACACTATACAATCAAGTCGCCATGTCCTACTATCCGGGCCAGCAGTATCATCAGAACGCCTACGGTGCCCCGCCTCCGCAGAATGGTTACGGTGCCCCGCCCCCACAAGGATACCCGCCGCAGCAGAACTATGGTGCTCCGTGAGTGTGAATTCAGCTTCAATCTTGACTGATGCTTTGCTGACAAGCCCCAGGCCTCCACAACAAGGATACGGATACCCACCCCCCCAGAGCCCGCAACCACCTTACCAGAACTACGGACAACCGACGCCTCCCCCGCAACAGTATGGATACAATCAGGTCAGCAGCGCTTAGGGTTGGCGAGAAGCAATGACCTGAGGACTGACGCATGCATAGGGTCCACCACCTCAGCAATACGGCAATTATGGTCCACCTCAGAACCAAGGGCCGCCGCCACAACAGCAGCCTGCTCGACCAGGTACATCTCTACCATTTGATCTAGGAAGTCTTTGGAGCTGACAGCTAGCCCAGGCATGATGCCCACAGCCAACAGCAACCAATGGACACATGGAAACCACAACGCCCCTGCACCACCGCCCACGGGCGCACAGAACTTCGGCCACGGCGCGCCCCAGGACTACTCGTTTCAATACTCGGCCTGCAACGGCCGGCGGAAAGCGCTACTTATCGGTATCAACTACTTTGGTCAAAAAGGCCAGCTTCGAGGGTGCATCAACGATGTAAAGAACATGAGCACATATCTAAACGAGTTCTTTGGTTACAAGAGGGAGGATATGGTCACTCTGACCGACGACCAGCAGAACCCAATGAGCCAGCCGTCCAAGGCGAACATTTTAAGAGCGATGCATTGGCTAGTCAAGGATGCACGCCCGAATGACTCGTTGTTCTTCCACTACTCAGGTATGCAACAATACCCTTTCTCGGATGACCAACAGGCATGGCAGAGTTGAAGTTGACCGATTATAGGACACGGCGGCCAGACCAAAGACTTGGACGGTGACGAAGACGACGGCTATGACGAAGTAATCTACCCCGTCGACTTCCGCACTGCCGGCCAGATCGTCGACGACGAGATGCACCGTATCATGGTCAGCCCCCTGCAACCCGGTGTTCGTCTAACGGCCATCTTCGACTCGTGTCACTCCGGCTCCGCGCTCGATCTGCCTTACATCTACTCCACCCAGGGCGTGCTCAAGGAGCCCAATCTTGCCAAGGAGGCTGGCCAAGGCTTGTTGGGCATTGTGTCGAGTTATGCCAAGGGCGACATTGGCAGTATGCTGGGGAGCGCGACGAGCCTTTTCAAGAAGGCGGTCTCGGGAGATGAGGTGTACAAGAAGAACTTGAAGACCAAGACCAGCCCTGCGGACGTGATCATGTGGAGTGGAAGCAAGGATACGCAGACGTCGTAAGTATAATCTGCATCTTGAACCTTTGAGCTGGGAAATTCTAACAGGACCTTTTAGGGCCGACGCAAGCATTGGCGGCGAAGCCACGGGCGCCATGTCCTGGGCCTTCATCACCGCGCTCCGCAAGAACCCCAACCAGAGCTACGTTCAGCTGCTAAACAGCATCCGTGACGAACTCGAGGGCAAATACCAGCAGAAGCCGCAGTTGAGCTGCAGTCATCCTTTGAGTAAGGCACTCCTTCCACCCTTGTGAACAACCCGAATGCTAACAACGACAGATGTCGACATCTTGTACGTCATGTAAATGCAAGTGTGTAAAGATGATGAACAATGAATGGACGAGGATATGGGATTGGGATTGGGAAAGGTTCATTGTTTGATTGATATCAGGCACTGTTGTATAGGAAAGGGTCTACAAAATGGGCACTTCTATCACAACTGTTGATGATTGTGTATACCTGTTCTTGTAATTACTTGTGGTGGAACTTCCAAGCGTGTTGCTGCGGCACTCAGTTGCTATTGGGCCGTTTTTTTTTAAAACAGAACTAAGTTGAATGTTCACCTACTCACTACTACTGTCTGCACCAACAACCATTTCATTGGCGGTGCGTGCACCATGAGTCGGTCATCAAGGGTAAATTGAGTTACACGTACTCGTCCGTTGTTGTCTCTTGTAAGCTAACAATACCACAATGGCAAACCTCTCATCTTCTAGTAGTACTATGCCAGATATCCTTGCGAAATCAGAACTACAATAGCCACACTATCCCTCTTGCACAAATATCCGCCTATATCCAATCTCTGCGATCGTTGTTACATCGTGTTCAAATGTAGCGTACTCTTGTTGCGTATAGAGGTACCAGAAGTTGGTGTATAAGAGGGATATTTGGCGTATGTAGGGGGGTATGCTCCCGAAACTCCCTTTCAAACAACCTGCAAGACGCCGTGCCAATCCGTGGATATCTTCCCGTCGTATGTCGTAAATCCATGGGAAATCATGAACCCGTCTATAACTCCCAGTAATCAAAAGAGCAAGAAACCAGACAGTACCTGCTCACCCATCGCAAGGGGGCCAACTATGCTACACTTGCATGCATATGTATGTGTGTGTGTGTGTGTGCTAGCAGTCAGCCATCTCCTCGTCAGCCCAGTCCCTCCACTCCTGCCACTCTCTATGCCCTAGCGCAACCTTCTTCCCCTGATACCGCACAACGTTCAACTCGACTTTGCGCCAATCATCCTTTCGTCCACTCCATCCTGCCTTCCGCATCAAGCTCACCAGCGTTTCCTCCTTGGTCCACCCTTGCTCCCGCGCAACATCCGGGAGGTAGGTAGATCCGTAGCGGCGGCCATGGTAACTGAAGGATATGCGCAAGCCGTGTGTGCCGATGGTCCAGTCGAGAGGAGAGGAGGCGGGCTCGAAGTTGGTGAGGAGGGTTACAGCGCATTCGAGGGTGGGAAGTTCACGGGCCGTGATGGGGGAGAAACGCGTGTCGTCAAAGGCACTGTAAATGCAGATTGATTAGCTCAAATCAACCTGTAGTAGTATGGCAGAGTACGTACGAAGTCAGAGCATAACTCCTCAACCCCTCATCCAACTCCTGCGCTTCAAACGTGCCGATACACCCCCTCAGCCGTTTCTCCCCGCTCTTCGTCACAGTGTTCCAGGTCACGAACAGCGGGTGATCCTCCACAGTCTCTTGCTCCGCCTTCTGCAGCCGCGAGAAGAAACTACTCCGACTGCTACTCTTGCTTGTCGCGCTACTCGCTTCGCTAATCCCGCTTGGTGTTGAACTCGCGCTCTGTAAACTTGAGGAGCTTGCTGTAGAGGGCGAGGGCACAAGGAGGCGCGATATGGCGGCAGGCTTGTAGGAAGCGTCTACTGGGGCGGGTGAGAACGAGGATGAGTCGGTTTCAGAGTCTTCTGGGACTGAGACCTCGTCGCTGGGTTCCGTCGTGGTGGGGTCGGTGTTGTACTTCTTCCATAGCGCTTCCACCTGACGGAAGGAGAGAGCTGGTCTCTTTTCGAGGCTTGCAGATAGGCTTTCAAAGCAGTATGCGCAGTGGGCTTGGGTAGCCATCTTGGGTGGCAGTTGCTCTGTCACGACGTGGGTGGAGGGCGTGAATATGCGGTATCTGGAGCGTTGGCGGGCTAGAGGAGGGGAGATATGTACTGAAAAGAAGGCAAGGCTGTGAGACCTTCGCTATAACGAAAGACTAAGATGACGGCTACTGCAGGGTGTGTAGTTGCTAGGTAATCAGACCCAAGCAGGGCTGTGCAGGATGGACAGGAACCGGACGCCTTCAGCCCACCTTCCACTATACTCTCCGCGGTGAGCGGTGCAAGAGCGTGCAGGAAGTTTTCGAGTAATTTCCAGTGGAGGACGCTCTTGCATCACCTCCCGAGAGGTTGAAGGGTGGGATGGCGGCTTTTGAAAGAGTAAAAGGCTATTGCTGAAGTTGCAAAGCTGTGTACCCCGCTGGCTACCAGAGCTCGGCGACCTGCTGCACCTTCAAAGAAAATCACCATTTGATCAAGTCCACTAGAAGGGTCAGCCGGTAATGGGATATATTCATCTATGACTGTTTCATAATACGTAGATGCCACGATGGAATTGCAATGTGCAATATGCAGCCGACGAGACCAGTTACGGTCCGAACCGTTTATAAGCTTGCCGTTAATAGAAGAAATGTAACCCCATCTTCATGCACACTTACCCTACGGAGGTAAAGAGTAGTGTGTTTGGTAATGATGGGGAATATCGATCTTGCCACTTAGATATTCCTTCAGCAGGTCGAGCATGGAGAGCTCTTATTGCTGTACACAATATGGCTGGGTAGCGCGGTTTGCACCTCGTCTACTCGTATCAACTACGCAAACAAGTTCTACACTTGCGCGCTTGCAATGCATCACTCGGTCGATCCGCGCGGTAATGGACCGGGGCTGGCTTTTGACTTATTCATTGCCGCATCTCATGCCTATGGCTGTTGTAACCCGCTCCCACCTCTGAGCTCGAAACCGTCATAGAAAGTCCGAATGCCATTGACGCCGACCAGATGTCTCATGAAGGAACCGAAAACCACCCTCGTCGCTCGCTCGTAATCGTTCGTCCTTTATGCCGAGTCGCGCTTGCCCTCCTTGACCTCCTTCTGCATCGTTGTTAGCGGATGGCGTTGATTGTGTCGTGTATCGTAGGTACGCACCAGAGCGCGCATGGTGCCGTGAAGAGCATGCCTATGGTTCCTGCGGAACTTGGGGTCGGTGCCCTTGAGCGAGGGGTATCTGTGTGTCTTGGGCTTCTTGATACTGCAGGGCCAAATATCAGTCATCGTGTTCCAACAAGTGTATGCCAGCCGTGTAGCGCGGACGGATGTGAATCATCGGCGGTAGTCGTGCGCGTTCGATGGAAGGTGGAGGGATGCATACCCGTTCCTGTGATTCTTCTTGGACTGGTTGTGCTGAGACGAGTTCTTTGATTCTGTGGGATCCTGTCAGCAGAGTTTGTGGATTACACCTGGTATTGTGAACGTACTGGCCATGGCGACGGATTTGCGTGTCGAATTGCCTGGGTGGTTTGACGAAGAGCTGCCTTTGCGATAGACTGAATTTCCGCCCGAGTGTGGTGTAAGCGAGTTGCAAACGGCGCTAAGAGTTCTCCGGCTTGGCGCGACGCTAGGACACGTGCCTCACCACCGGGCAGCATGATGCAATCGGCGTCTCCATTTAGGTTTTGAAAATGAAATAAAATCTATCTGGCTAAGCCCTGTGGCTGTTCTCCTGGTGCACTCCCAGCAGCACGAGTATTCGACAGAACAGCATATAACGCATTTGATCAGCCAGATCTGGTAGATCCCTTCTGCAATGGACGTAATTATTTCAACAAGGTAGCGTATCAGCTGCTCAATAAGACGATCGTTGTAATTGTAATGTCTTCTTTTATCATAAGAGCATCGTAAATAGCTCCCAGTCTGGATATTTTCAGTCTTTCCTCCCTATCCCTTTGAACTTATTCGTCGATCGCAGCAGCACGGTCTGTCTCGACCCAAATACTCCTCCCATAACGCCAATTTGAACTGCAAGTGAGCAACTAAATGCTCTTCTTCCTATGTCTACTTCTGCTGCTCATAGTCCATGACATCCGGACCAGCCTGGCGTTGCCGCATGCGCTCGCGGATGGCTTGCTCTGAGGTCGAGTCTCCATCACGGCCCTGGGTAGACACTGGGGGTGTCTGGTTAGCTGTGTCGATAATGTTGTCATCGTACGTCATGCCATCGATTACTCGTGCATCGTTCTTCTGCTGCTCTATACTGGAAGTAGTCTGTGTCGTACCTGAGCTGGAGGGAGCACTGACGCCCGTCATTGGGCTTGCAGGTAGTTGCTCCCTCAAGTGTCCAGGCACTGCGCCTTTCCCAATCGCAGGGCTACCAATCTGGCTGTGCTGTCGAGCTGGCGTTCTTGCCCCCTCGCCGAATCCGACCAAAGAGACAGCCTCGTCACTGAAGCCTCCCATGCTCGACGTCTCCACATCTTGGTCTTCGCTCATTCTGTCCGGCTCATAAACGTCGCTGCCACTTGCCCATGTTGTGCGACCTCCAACTGACCCAGTCGCACTGGCACTACCGACCGTACTGCGCTCGCGGAAGATTTGGGGTTGGTTGTTCGCATCAAAGTAGCCAGGCGGTGGGTTGGCCGCGCTTCCGGGTCCAAGACCTTGAGGTGTGCGACCTGAGACAGCGACTCGCTCGAGGCCAGCCAGGCGCGAGATACGATCGGCGCGCTCAGCATCCGCGGGATTGCGGTGGTGAGGAAAGTGTCCACGGTGTCCGTCTTTGATTGCGACGGTGGAGAGTTCAGACATGGACGTAGTAGTCGAGTTTGGCGTGCCCCTAGGTAAACACCTTGTCAGTCACACATCAAAGACCCCGCCAGTGGGGGATGCCTTACGGTGCCTCGCCTGGTGTGTCTACATCCGAAGGCGGAGGCGGTAGATTGATTAGAGTCGGTGCATTCGTCGCCATTTCGAGTGAGTGATACAGGCCAAACAGTCTTTGGTATACTCTGCGGGTGGAGAGGTCAGGAGAAGGGGTGGAAGTGCAACGTTATCGGAAGTTACAAGGAGGCCTGACCCAGTGACAATGACGTCGTTAAACACGGCACTTCAAAGGATGCAATCGCGACTGACTCAGACACGCAAATGGAAGATGTTTCAATTCTCTGGCTGCTAGTATCGTAGCGTAAAGAGTATCACAGTGAAGGGAGATTTGCATAATTGTAGCTCTTGTCGCCGTCCCACGATCAAGTGCATCCATGGATGTTTGGACGGTTAGCTTGGCAACGATGCAGGGACTACCGGTACCCGACCCTAGCGGACCATGATTCGCTCACTTCGTTTCGAGATGTCTACATTTCTATTCCAATGTCTCTTTTTTCCGCCATGCTAATCGTAGGTGTTCCTATGCACGCGAGTGCAAGAGAGACAAAGCGAAGTCGCTTTCGAACTATCCACCCACCCCGAGTCGGTTGACGACATCCCACGGCAACCTCAACATGATAAAACACTCAGATCCTCGGTCCATCTCAAACAGTCTTCTTCTATTGTTACTATATACAACCCTTCCGTATCCCGGTCTACGTCCAATCGTTAGGTGTCTCTCATGAATCGCTATGCTTGACGGTCCGCATTCTGGGCACAGGTTCATCTCTCTACATCAACTCTTCGTAGCGGCCGTATTCCGTGCATGAGGCTTGGTTCAGAGCGACTAATGGCTCCCATTGCGTGCCAAGTATTTCCTTTGTAACCAAACCAATCAAATCCACAACAATGACAACGCCAGGCCAGCTCAACAAGTTGGAGGAAAGCAGCGGAAAGAGTGCGGTAGTATTCCATGCCCCAGGATTGACCTTCCCCGCAAAACCGGGAGTGTACCGGGAGTTTAACAACGACTGAGCGCGCTAGAGCCTAATCAAACGCCCACAAGCTCTAAGCGTCATGCCTACTCACTGTATAAGACCTCGGATGGCGGGTGCGACTATGCTGCGCTTGCGACGTCGTCACCCTGACTTCTTTGTATTTACGGATTTGGCTGGACACTGCCACTACGACGATGTCACACGACATCAGTAAACCAAGCTTCCCAGACGAAAAGATCGAGACCATCAATGACACCCATGGGTCCAACATTGATCCTATCGCAGAGAAGAAACTGCTGCGTAAATGCGATGCCCGTGTCCTGCCGCCTCTATTCGTTCTATTCCTGCTAGCCTTTCTCGATCGCACAAACATTGGTACTTCCATCCTAGAACCTCATCTTGAATGACAACTATGGCACTAACATACGTCCAGGCAATGCAAAGATTCAAGGGCTTGTCGAGGATCTTGACATGACTGGTTCGAAAGCACATAGGTACAATGTAGCACTGTTCATCTTCTTTGTACCTTACATTCTTTTCGAAGTTCCATCAAATCTGGTACTGAAGAAGCTTGCGCCTTCGACGTGGCTCTCGCTCATTATGGTCTTGTGGGCAAGTGTTACCTCGCCTAGGCTCCGCATGTTTGCCTTGTTAACGCTAGTAGGGCATCTCAACCATTGGCATGGGATTGGTAAACAACTACGAGGGCCTGTTAGCAATGCGCGTCCTGCTTGGCTTGTTCGAAGCTGGACTGTTTCCTGGTAGGTCGACTGCTTTATAGACGCAGGTTAGCACTGACGAGACAGGCTGTGTCTACCTCATCTCCATGTACTACAAGCGCTACGAGCTTCAATGGCGTCTAACCCTGTTCTTCACGGCGAGCATCATCGCAGGGGCATTCGGTGGAGTAAGCGATCCATCGCCCTAAATGGTGTATGCTGACCTTGTCTAGCTACTCGCCTTCGCCATCGCCAAAATGGACGGCATTGCAGGCTATGGCGGCTGGCGCTGGATCTTCATCATCGAGGGCATCGTGACTGTTGCTTTCGGTCTCATTACCAAGTTTTGGGTTACAGATTGGCCAGAGACGGCGAAATTCTTAAACGAGGACGAAAGAGCTCTCCTACTCGCGCGTCTGAGCTCTGATACTGGCGACGCGGTTATGCATCGACTGGACAAGCGAGCTGCGAGGAGGATCTTTTCGGATCCCAAGATCTATTTGGGGACTGCCGCATACTTTGGTAAGATATCAGTCACTTCTACTATTCAGATACCAGCTAACAAGCTGCTTCTAGGAGTCGTCAATACAGGCTACGCAGGTTCATTCTTCGTTCCCACAATTGTTAAAGAACTTGGCTTCACTTCTTCTGCTGCTCAAGTCCGCTCTATCCCAATCTTTATCGTTGCCACCGCAACCGCGATCATAACAGCCTACTTAACTGATCGTCTGCGACATCGCTACTGGTTCTGCATCTTTGGTCTTGTGGTCGCATCGATTGGGTACATCATGCTCCTCGCCCAGCACAATCTGTCACCAGGCGTAAAGTACTTCGCGCTCTTCCTGATCGTGCCCGGTGGCTATATCACCCAACCAGTTTTTCTAGTCTGGATGTCCAACCTCGTGTCAGGACATTACAAGCGCTCTGTCAGTTCGGCCATGCAAGTTGGCTTCGGGAATCTCGGCGGCATCGTGGCTAGTAACGTTTTCTTTGGGAGTGAAGCCCCACGGTATCCGACGGGATATGGAGTCAGTCTAGGGATGCTGTGGATCTGCGGCGCCGCATGTACGGGCATGTACTTTCTTGTGAACTTTGAAAACAGGAAAAGGGAGAGAGGCGAGAGAGATTCGAGACTGCAAGAGCCGGATGCGGACAACCTAGGAGATGACCATCCACATTTTAGGTTGACTACGTAGGTGAGATCTCAGTAGGATAGGGCGTAAATATTTGCAGTAAACGAGCAGACTGTGGATAACAATATGTATTCGTAAGATGAGAAATGCAAATGTGTCTCAAATTGATATATTTACTTCCCAAGCTGTATACCTTTCAAGACTACTCATCTTCCTAAATACCAGCGACCAACATGTACAGTGATTGATTACGCATTCAAACGAGATTGGACGTTCCGATTGGGGTCTGGAAGGTTTCGCTCTACAAAGATTAAAGGAGCAGCAAGGCAATAGGTGCACAGAATATAGGTGGATGTACATAATATTGCAATTGTTTTAGTCTATTATACATTGCTTACTTCTCCAGTCTACAGGGTATCAAAGATAAAAATAAAAGTGCAGAGCGCCACCTCCAATGTAAAATAACTTTCTATTGTCCACCAACCCCCGGCATATCGGCCTTTAATTGTCCTTTGATATAAATATCGACATATTCCTGCGCCGGCCATCCACCCCACCCTTCGATGCTGCCAATCTGTGCCTTGATGAGTTGCGCAATTTCCGCCGATCCGCCCATGCCCTGACTGGGTCCGATTTCAAATACTCCATCAACAGCTGCTCGCAAAGCTACAAGCGTTCTAAAGAGCAACCGACTGCCCGAGTACCGGGCTTCAGCACGTTGCCTGACCTCGACATGATGCTTCATGAGCCAGGTAGAGAAGGAATAGAGGCCCTCATAGTCGTGGAGGGTGCCTAGCGCGCGGACGTATGCGTGAAGCTCTGCGGGGCCGGGGATGTGCGGTGGAATAGTGTCGTAGCTATCTCGTATTGGGTTGGTGGACTGCACATCTGTATTCGCACCAACTAAACCGCGGAAGAGGATGCGGAGGCGGGAGGAGCCGGTGAGGAAGATGTTGCGCGCGTCCTCGGTGGATGTGGACCAGTGGTTGGCGGTTTGAGCAGCGTACTGTGTCGCCGTGCACATTAGGCGGAAAAGTCCATCGTCAATATCGAGGTCAATGTCCTCCATATGCTCAAATACTTTGCAGACAATGTTATATCGGATCGAGTTTCCCGCCATCATGCTTGTCTTGTGCTGCACCATTTTGTCCACGTAGACAGTCCAAGCCGGACGATATTTTGGCTTGTAGTGCGAAAGAAGTGCATGAGCATATTCTAAGAGGTATTGTCTGTCAGACCTGAGTAAGTGAGCGTGTTGTTCGGGCGCTACAAGAGTGGGCTCTCTGATAGGCGGCCGATCGATACTGCCAAAACGACATAGAAAATGAATGAAGGCCTTGAAAAGATAGCCGGGTGTCGCTTGAATCAAGCTATTGTTGTCGTGCTTGCCTAAAAAGAGATGGTTTATGCCATCATGTTGGGTCGTGTCTAATATGTCCAGTGCCATATTGAAGTCTGGGCATGTCTCCAATAAGAACGCAAGTAGGCGATTCGAGGGACTCAAGTGCCTTGTGTACATGCGATGATATAGTTGCTTGTAGGTGGGGACAGGCTCGTTTAAAAATACGTAATGCAGGGGAGACGTTGGATCTGGGATGACTTCCTTCATGTCCCCAGGCAACATATCGGCTGTTGGCTGCTCGAACTCCTCTTCCAAATCCAATGAAGATGCACGATCCGGTGACGTCGAAAGCGTAGGATAGTACAGCTTTTCGAACATAGCGATATAGATTTCTTGCTGATCAGCGACCCCGGTCATTTCATGTGCGAGAAAGCACGCCCAGGCTTCTCGTCGCGTTCTGGTTGTTCGTATACGGCCAGCCCATAGCAGAGAGCGTAGATGAGCTCTATCTTTATACTGCGTGGAGAAGCTAGGTACTGATGTACGAGTCTGGATTGTCGGACTGTAGTCGGTGTCCCAACCAGCATACACCTCGGCCATCTCTTCCCAAATGCGGCCACCGTAGCCAGCCTCATACATGCGATGCATAATCTTCGAGGCTCTGGAGGCACCGAATTCATAACCCTTATCTTCATCCATTGCAGTGCGATTCTCTTTCCAGGGAGGCCAAGAAGGACCTTTAAGCTCTGCCCATTCCTGTTCTGAAGGGGTCTTGGCATGAGCAAGCTGGTTCCTGGTCACAGATCGAAATCCTAGTCTGGAGACTGATATCGCGGGCGAGCGACTAGCCATGTACTGTAGAACCTGAAATTGTGCCTTTTCTTGGTACATTGAGGAGATTATCGGTTGGTTGTCCGCTGGCAGAGAGAGAAGCAACAGAAGGTTGTTACAGAATTGTGTAACATCTGAAAGCATACTGGGCGATAAAGGCTTGGAGCCATCTTCGTCGTCATGTAATCGGGCTGCTTCGGTAGCAAAGAGCGTGGCAATCCACGGTACCGACTCTGGCCAAAGCTCGCGTGCATGGCGGAGCAAACGAATAACAATAAGTTTAAGAGCTGCCCAGGTGATCGGCTCTATCCGCGATCTGTATCCAACGTGTCTCATGATTACGTCTAAAGCGAACGCCCGTACATGTTTGCGGCGCAGGTACAGCAGGAGCAAAAACAAGGGCGGTACTTCGGCACCAGGTTTGAACGTCTCTACAGCTACCCGACATCTGGATTCTACAAGAGTGGACGCCCATTTCGATATACTGTCTGGAGAATAGCCTTTAGAGTGTAGCAGATGGAGCTCCAACTGAGTAAATTTGAACTCAGACTCGGCAGAAGGCGATGCGGTATCATGTCTTAAAAAACGAGCGAGAATAGAGTAAAGCGACACAGGTTCAGGAAGCAGGTCTGCATTGTCTGTTGACCAAAGTGGTTTTGGGGAAGGTCGCTTGATGTCGCCTGTATCGTGAGGACGGGGTCTTCTATAAGACAAGTCGACCTTTCCAGGCGGAGCGATCATGTACAGGTCTCTAGCAGAGCCTTGTATCGATGCTAGGACCTGCGCGGGCCGGCTCGGACGCATAGCCTTTCTTGCTGTGCGGCTAAGCTGGGCGCGAAATGGGACGTCGTCCTTTGCGACGTCGATCTTGTGTTCCCATAATTGCCCAGTGTTCAAGCTCTCGTCTCTACTTAGACTGAATATGAATGCATCAAGGAAACTCTCGGGAAAGTCCTCATCCTCAGGCGTCTGAACAGGGTGTCCTCTTTGATCTTTGACCTCTGCTGCTTTGAGCCGGTTTGTAGTTAGATCGGATGTAAATGCATCGCCAGGCCTCTGGGCAGAGTGATTCCTTCGAAAGGCGTGCGGATGCTCATAGCGACGAGCGGGAAGACTACCGTACGTCCAAGATGGTGAAGGTTGATTCGACGGTAGGGAGAGCGTTCGGGTCCATGGTGGGTGTATCGCGAGCGCTAACAGACGGTGCTGCTGATGGCGGACCACAGGAAGCCGAGGGGGCTTGGATATTAAGTCAGAGGAGGTTGACGTCTTGACCATGAAGAGGGCTCACCAGGTGAATTGCCAGGTGCGTTGCACGGCGGCCAAGGCGGTTTGGGCTACCTGGAGCTGCCAGAGAGAGGATTAGGGGCATTCATTTGACGAGACTAGCAGACAAACGCGCGTGGATGTCAGTTGCGACAAGATGAAGCCGGAAGTAGGAAAATTGATGGTGATTCCTGCTGGGGCCCATGTCTGGGCCTGGTACCCACGCTAGTACGGTTCGGGCACAGTTTGCACAAATCCTCTAAACAGCGACATTCAAGTGCAGTGCCATGAGCAGTTATATATTCGAGTAGAACGACTGCTTGAAAATAATATCATCACGGATACACTGCCCGCTCTCCTCCAGACGGCAAGGCTGCACGTGCGAATCATTGTGGTGCCAATGTTCCTGTGGAGCCGGGCGGCGTTTTGTCTTGGCGCATCGCGTTGCATTCATCGCTGAACTTCCCCCCAGGCAGGTCAGGTTTCCACAATCTCCCCATTCCGCGCCCACCATACCGAACGACCTGTGCGCGTAAAAGAAAGCCGGATTTGACGACAAGACGCGCCTTCGGTACTCGCAGAACGAATTTTCCCGACATTGCGAGGGAGGGCATGTTGGTGAAGGAGGCAGACTAACGAACGACTTCGGCTCTGAGCGCGTTCCACGTCCAACGCCATCATCGCTCGCGCATCGCGAACTGCACCCATCATCGCTCGACCACCATGGCCACCAACGGCAACCTGACCCCGCCGTCGCTCCCGCCTGCGCCTACCTCGCCGTCTGCCGCGAAACGAAAACTCCCCGGGGCCCATGCCATTGCTCTCCATGGCGCATCCGCGTCGGCGCAAGGGAAAGGCGCAAAGGGGACCTCCTACTCTCTGCAAATGGTGCTCGAGGACATGTTGTCCGTCTTGAAGAGGTACGATATACGCAGACTGTCTTGTTCGTTGCAGTTGCTCACGTCCACGTAGCTATGACACGCAGCCTTCCATCCTAACCCACCCCATCACCTCGTCCATAACGCGAAGCTCTTCCGGAGAGGCCGATTCGAAGCGCGCCAAACTGACTCCACCGGACGGTCCTGTTACTATTACTAGCCTGGTGCAAGATGCGTCGTATGATTCTCTGCACGCGTTGGAAAAGGATGTGGAGAGGGCCACAACAGAAATCCTCGCAGCTAGCGGCGTGACCGATTCGTCAAATGTACCAGCTTCACTGGAGGAGACAACGCTACAAGCAAAGGTTCTTGCGTTTCGAAAGATTGCCAAGGATCTGGTGGACAGGGAAGAGGCGCGCAAAGCCCAGCTCGAGACCAAACACGTCGATACCGAAGGTGGGGATCAAATATCAAAAGATGAAGGAACACCTGTGCTGGCCAAGGAAGAAGAACCACTGGTGCCAGAAAGCCGGACGGTCCTTACGCTGTACGGAAGTGCGCCCCCTAAGCAACTCTTTTCGAGCTTGCAACAACCACACAGAGTCCCACCCGCACATGGAACGTCCACTCTCGACGCCGCTGTCAAGGTCGTATTGCCTCTACGAGAGACCAACCTACCTAACATGATTTCGACGACTGAGGTGTATCCACTCCCTAATCCAGTAGACAGCAGGACGAAGAAAGCTGCGACGATTGGAGAGATCTTTCGTGCACCCGCGCACTTGCCACAGATCAGCCCTCCAAAGTCTGTCAGGCCTACAACAAGCAAGGGCAACAATACCATCACTTTCGCGCCTCTGGAAGCACCCAAACCAGGTCGCAAAGGATCTCAATCGTACGCGCATCAGACCTTGTCAGTTGCGTCTTGGCTTGGATATGGTGGAGTGGATATCCCCAAGGATCAAACCTCTCCTACCGCGAAGCAAAAGAGCAGACAACGAGCGTTAAGCATGGGCGAAGCGCAACAGCCGCCGTCAGGGTTGACCCTTGTTGCACTCCAGCAAGCAAAGGAAGACGCATTGTTCCGCAGTGCCTATTCCAGCTTCGCGCCTACTCGAGACGACTCTTCGGCTGTCATTCCCGAAGAGACGAAGAATATGGTGTGGTGGCAGAAGGTGGGCGAAAAGCGCTTCAACGAGACTTTCCCGATCGATCCAGCTCTGCTCAGCGCAGAAGAAGTCAATGGAGCTGATGCCAATGGGGCCACTAGTGAAGAAGCAGGGTTTGAGGAGGCTGTAGCAAATTTCGTCCCGGTCGATGCAGATGTTTTGCCTGGCACAGACGAGAAGAGCGAGGAAGAAATGGATACAGACGAAGTGCTCAAGGAGATCTCGGAACTCCTCGAGACTCTGGCATCTTACCAGAGGATACGGAACTCGTCGCTAACTACCAACCCACGCACACCGGTTGTACAGAACTCGTCCCTCGCTATTCTGGCAGGGAGCCCGTCCACACCGTCCACGGAGGAAATCGACGTCTACCAGATCCTCAAATCACAGCTGACCTTGCTGATTTCACAGCTCCCGCCGTACGCCGTTGCGAAGCTGAACGGCGATCAGATGGACGAACTCAACATCAGCCGAACAATCTTATTCGACACGAAGGAGTACAAGGGCGTTTTGGAAGAAGACCAGCTTTCGAGACTTGCAAAAGTCCCGGCAGCAGCAACTTCTACACCCGCAACCCTTGCACGAACAGGCTCTGGTGCACACGTACACTACCCTGGAAGCAGTACCCAGTACACTCGCCCTGCCCCTTCAGTCCCCCAGTCGAACGCGCGTCCGGTCTATGCGCAACAACAGTCCCTCCATCGGTCGTCTTCCATTCATCTACAACGCTCGCCTTCCGGTCCAGCCCAGAGTTATCAAGCAGGCGGGGCATCATACGCCCCTGCTGCAAGACCAGGGTATTCGGCGACTCCTTCTTACGGCCAAGCGACCCCAAGGCCGAGTTATGGATCGACTGCCTCTGGGTTATATCAGTCTCAGCGTTCTGCACAGCCTGGTGCTTATGGTGGCACCATGAGCTCGCAGTACTATAATTCGACTCCTCAAACCCAGCTCCAAAACCGATATACACAACCACCACCCCAGAATGGCTACTTGTCGCGGCCACAGAACGTAGCTCCGATGTACAACACGAGTCAGACACCACAACCGCGCACCGCATCACCCATGAAGGCGGCTCCATCACCATCACTCCCAGGTATGAGTACCCGGCCTGGGTATGGCACACCGGGAGGTCAAATGCGTAGTACGTACTATGGTCCGTCCCAGTACGGCACTGCGCCAGCTCCTTCTACTCCTGTCTACAATAGCATTGGCACCAATCCTCAGCAGATGATGATTGACCGCCAACAAGCACAGGTGGCAGCTCAGTCGCAAGCCCGTCTAGCGGCGCAGAACAGCTTCAACAGTAGGCAGGACTCTGGAACGCCGCAACCACCAAACGGATCGTATAGCGGCCAGGTGAACGGGGCGTCTATGACGACTTAGGGTGTTATCAAGAGCAGTTGAACGCTAGGATTGATGTGATTTGAATACCATAGATAACATGCTGGCGTTCTGGGAGGGTTTGGCTGTGGTTAACATGGAAGTGACAGCATTTTTTTTGGGTATTCTTTTTTCTTGCGCCAGAGTCTGCCTTTCAGGACCGCGCACGGTAAGATGGTCAAGTGAAACTTTATAGTGAAATACCAGCATTGTGGCATCTTCAAATACTAGCCATCTTCCGAGTAATCCGCGTAGTTTGTATAGGCATGCCTTTTCTCTCTAATCCTAGCTGGTAGCGATACGTTAGTGGTGTGGACCCTGCATTTCCGCGTAAACTTGCCGGATGACGTCGCGGGGCCTACGCGTTCCGTCCAAGCAAGCACATGCACCCTTCTCTCGTGCATCTGCCAGACGCAGAGCTATGAAAGCCACACAACAAAATGGCACATCTTCTGCGCGGAAAACAGGCGGGTGTTCCCAACGACCTCAGCACCGGCCTCGGAGCTGATCTCTTTGTACTGGACCATGTATGTACCTGGGCTCTGTTTGCGCCCCGCGATGCCGTCGCAGCCGACATCCCCAGCTTCACAAGCTAATTGATTATAATGTGTGCAGATTCGCAACTATGGAATCAACTCAAAAGTTACCCAAGTCGCATACGATCCCGTGCAATCCCTCATCGCCATCGGCACGAGCGAGAGCCAATTTGGCAACGGTCAGATTTACGTCTTTGGGCAGAAGAGAGTCGAAGTCGTCCTGCCGCTCCCGCATCGTGCATCAGTCAAGATACTGCAGTTCTGCGCCGAGAAGCTGCTTTGTGTAGACTCCAGAAATGACTTGAGTGTCTACTCGCTGGAAAGCAAAAAACTGGTCAACGCGCATTCCCCGCCAGCCAAGATCACGGCCCTTCATAGCGACCCTACAATCGACTATGCGCTATTGGGTACACAGCATGGAGAAGTCTTCGCGTACGATCTTGACAGGGAGACACTCACTCCGTTCAAGATCCCGAACTTGTGGAGGGAGAAGTACCCCCGGTCGCGCTTGACGTCCGTCGTCACACTGTCTCTGCACCCTCGAGATATCGGCTCTTTGCTCATTGGATACAGTACCGGCGCTGTCATATTCTCATTCAAGCAGAACAAGGCGCTAAGCTTCTTTAACTACCTGCTGCCCAAGGGCGCTCCGGGAGGCGACTCGGATCCTGCCTCAATTTTCAAGGAACGGGAACCGCCTTTGACACAGGCTGTTTGGCACCCAACAGGGACGTTCATCTTAACTGGACATGAGGACGGCAGTATCGTCATCTGGGACCCAAAGGACGGGAGGATCATCCAGGCTAGGACCCTGCAGGATACAAATGTACACCAACCAGGACCAGGAAACCTCAGCGCTGGCGCAGTGGAGGGGTCCTTTGCGATCAAATCGCCAATCTTCAAAATCGCATGGTGCGCAAATCAAGACCCAGATGACACGGCCATACTCATTGCTGGCGGCCAACCCTCAAATATCTCAGTAAAGAGCCTCACACTGCTCGAGCTGGGTCGTACCCCTGTCTATGCTACCGCATCATGGCAGATACTTTCAAACCACTTTGAAAACCCCAAAAGGCAGCGAATCCTGCCATGTCCACCCGGCGCTGAAGTCGTCGACCTATGTCTGATACCTCGGTCCTCCCCACACTACGCTGGATGTCATGATCCAATAGCTATCATCGCCATGCTCGCCTCGGGAGAACTCATCACCATGTCGTTCCCCAGCGGCATGCCTATATCCCCCACCAACCAGCTACACCTCTCAATGACCCTCGTACATCCGTATATAAATTACGCGAATCTTGCGCCAGTAGAGCGTACGAAATGGCTCGGTATGACTGAAAAGCGGGAGCAAGGTCCACAGTTTCTAACGGGCGGCGCCGGAGCCATTTCTCCACTAAAGCGATTCGAGCATCGCAACGTTGTACAGACCTCCCACGCAGATGGCACAGTAAGACTTTGGGATGCAGGGCATGCCGATGAGATTGAGAATGAGGCGCTGCTCCAAATTGATGTGGCACGGGCGGTAGGTCGGCAGGAGAATGTGGAAGTGACACGTACCTCTTTTGCGGGTTCTGCTTCAGAGCTTTCGGTCGGGCTCAGGTCTGGTGAGGTAGCAGTGTTCAGGTGGAATATTAACAAGCACCCCGGGCAGGAGTTTCCTCTCGGCGAGAACCAGCCCCAAGCATTAACTAACATCACCGAAAGGACTGAAGCGACGCTTAAGGAAGGTTTATTACCATTTACACTTCTTGATGAGGGCAACGGGGCAGTCACCGCGCTAAAGCATTCAGATGTCGGCTTCGTTGCAGCTGGTTTTGAAGGTGGAAGCTTCGCTATCATTGACTTGAGAGGGCCGGCGGTCATTTATAGAGGCTCGATACAAGACTTCATCAAGTCTGACAAGCGCGGTAGCTTCCGACGGAGCTCAAACCAACCTACATCTAAGCCGGAGTGGCCGACATGCATCGAGTTCAGTGTCATGACGTTAGAGGACGATGACTACTCCAGTATCCTATGCCATGTTGGAACAAGCCTGGGACGTCTGGCGACGTTCAAGATACTACCAGAGTCCGACGGTCGATACTCAGCAAAATTCGCTGGGGTCTGCTCGCTAGACGACAAAGTCGTCAGGATCTGCCCTATGTACGCTGAATCAGGTCGCCCCGCATATGCTTCTCAGTCTGCAGTCGCCGGTCTGCGCAATGGTTCCAAGATCAAGGGCGTTCTGCTCGCAGTCACAGCTTCTGGAGCACGATTGTTCCACCCGCCTACAAACAAAGGTGCGCACAAGGCGTGGGACCAATTCCTATGTGACTCAGCGGCTGTTGTGCGGTACCAGGATCTCGGTTACGCTTTGCTAGGGCTGTATGGCGATGGGTATGCGAGAGCGTACTCGATACCTGCCATGAAAGAGATTGGATCAGTCAAGGTTAGTGATATGCTGGATGTACGGCGATTCTCTGAGGCTGTTATCACGAGCACGGGAGATATTTTGGGGTGGAAAGGACCTGCTGAGATGGTGTTGATCAACGTTTTCGGGACAGGTCTACAATTGTAAGTCGTGATATCTTAGATCCAAAGGGTCTTCCTACTAATGCCGCACAGTGACCGCACGAAAGACATGTTGTTGAACCCGCAGCTTCTCATACCCCCTCGGCCAACTATTAGCAATTTGCAATGGATATCTGGTACACAACACGTCTCACCCGCCGATATGGACTTGTTGAGTAAGTCCTTCATGTCATTCCCCTTCCTTCATACACTATCCACTAACCCCAACAAGTCGGCGGCCCCGACCGCCCACCCTCAAAACGCATGCTCGCGCAAATGCGCTCCGAGGCGGAACAACAACGCCGGGCTACGGCACACACAAACCAGTCTGCTTCCTCTTCCTCTGCATACCCTTCCTATCCTACGGCACCGCCGCCAACTAATGAAGGATGGGGCGCATGGGCGTCACGACAGTTCAACGAAAGAACAGAGAAGCTAGGACAGGTGGGAGATAGTATGGATAACTTGCAGCAAAACAGTGCGGGGTGGGCGGACGACGTGAATAAGTTTGTTTCAAAGCAAAAGAGGGGTTTGGTTATGGGAGCTGTCAAGGGTAAATTTGGGTTCTAAGTGACTTTAATGGGGACAAACCAAAAGAAATATCAAAAGTGTACGTCTATGCCTAGAAGGTATGGTCGATACTGTCAGGTTTTTGTGTCTCATGGAGTCTAGGCGTTTGGTGAGCTTCGTAGGCTCTAGAGTAGCTTTGGTAGAGCATTTTGTTGCGATTATCGAGGCACATGTTACCACAGATGGAATTCATCCAATGAATGCTTACCTAGTGCCAGCAGTTCTTGCACTCAAAGCGCCTCCCCAGAAAACCTTCGAATGATCTCCACCGTCTTCTCCGGCCGACTGAGCATAGGCAAATGATCCCCATCGATGACCAGCGTCTCAAAGACCGCACCATCCTGATCAATATAGCTCTGCGCCAACGCTGGAGGCACGCAATTGTCCCGTTCGCCAATCACATACAGGCATCTGAAATCGCCCATGTAGGGAATGTAGGTTGCTGTCGCGTTCAGCGCGGTAAAGGACGAGGGAGCTAGCTTGCTAGACCAGTAGGCGGCTTGGGCTGGGGCGAGGAGATTGTAGAAGGTCAAAGAAGGGGGAGAGGATAGCGGTTCAGCGTCCCAGTATACGCGGCTGGTACCCTCGAAGCGGAACCAGGGTGGTGCAAAGGTGCGGATATCGGTGCGTGAGAGGGGATGTGAGACGTCCCTTATGTAGGGGATGAAACCGGAGAGCTGTGGAGGTGGGCGTTAGCGTGAAAGGACGCGAGAGGGCAATAGGATGAATTGCTTGCTTAGGCCTCTGCTGCGACATAGCTACATGATAGGAAGTGGGGAGGAAGTCGGCACATACCATTATCAGGCCGAGAATCTTGCCCCTGGGAGTGTTCGCCGTGGTAACGCACATGGACTGAAGACCTCTGACTGCCTCTCCAATTACCGTGGCACCATAGCTGTTTCCAACAAGAACGACATCCTTGCCTTGCAAAAGGCGAGCGACCAGAGTGGTTCTGACCAAAGCGATGTCAGGCGTCCGATCGACGTACGAGGCTAGCGGTCCGACTGAAGGAAGGTCAATGGCGTCGACGTGCCTGTAGCCTGACTTCTTCAATGAAGTTTTGACTTGGTCGTAGACTGACGCTCTGTGGAATGCTCCAGGCACCAGGATAACCGCTGGCTTGTCTGTTGAAGGCGATGCTTTGGCTCCTACACAGAGGGAAAGAGATGTAGTGACGAGGAGGAGGACCAGGCCCAAGACAGGAGTCATTGTAGGCGGTGTGACTGTTGGAGAGCTGAAGTGCTTCGGTCGGTAGAGTCTGCGGGGGTTCCAAGAGGGTTGAACTGACAGAAGTACCGTTTGAGTGAGGTAGGAGTGGAATCGAAGGCGAGCTGAATGACTTTATCGCTCACCGACAAAAAAGCCCGTGGACTTCAGCCCTCACGTGGAAAGTAAGGGGCTCCCTTCTCTTCTGCAATCGCTAGTCATAGTGGTGCATCCGCAGACGTGCAACCAGTATCGTGTCCTTCTCCTTGATTAGGTTGCGTGCTTTGTTTACAAAAGAAAAGGGGCATCAAACGCTCCTGCCGGAACTTAGAGTCCTCATCACCAAGAAAAGGAGCATCTCAATCTAACCTTGTGCTATCCTATCAATGGATATCTCATAGTCAATGGGCTTGAGCCTCTAATTCGTAGCTAGCTGAGGCAGTACTGTTTTCCTTAGCACTGCAGCAAACGTACTTCTGGTGAGAGTGTTCTAACCGTCTGTGACCCTGCGGCATTAGAGCTTTGCCATATGAGTACATAACCGCATGCCTCATCTGCAGATGTCAGAGATGGCAGTCAGATGTGCAGTGGTTGTGACGTAAACGTTCACCCTGATCAGCGTCCGGTGGCGTACATGGGCTCGTATCTCGCCTAGATAGTCTATTTCGATCAGAATACCTCGAGATGATAGCCGTATCGGTTTTCATGTGCGTTCCGCGCCTCTGCAAGTGGGCATGATGTTTCTGAGTGTGGTGTAACATTGAGTATCATTGACCAATAGCTGAGTTGAAGCGGCGTGTAAAAAAAGAAAAGCGCAAGCGCGGAGGGCGTCACGGCACTATCATCTCGCAGTGACCGCTGACCAGATCGCGGCTAGGTATACCATACAGAAGGCGAAGAGTATTACAAGCGCTAACAGCGTCTGATGTTGAGAGACGGAAACAGATAGATGCTACAAAGACGCCTGAAGGCCAGAAGAAGATAAAAGGAAACGTATAAACAAGAATGCAATCGCTTAGGTGCAGTGGGGTTCGAAAAGGGCAAGTGCCAGCCTATTCCCGAGGCAAGTGCGAAGTAAACATACGAGCCACATCAGGCCTACGCCTATGCGGCACAGCAAAGTGCTCACAGTTCCATCCGGCGAATCATTTCCCTCGAATCGGCTTCGGAAAGCTCGTTGCCGTCGATGTTTATGCGGCCTTCTTCGACCTGGGCAAGGTCTGGCTTGATTAGGCCGTCGTGGAGGTACTTGAGGAACGAGAGGAGGTGCCTCTCGAATGCGCTGTATGGATACCGCTGTTGCGCTCCTTGTATAGCTTGTAGAGACGATTGTGACGAGCGTTGAGGTAGGAGCTCGTTAATGTACCGGCGCTTGACGTTGGTCCAGTCACGGTTCTGCTCGCGAGGGTTGTTCTCATCGCAGAACAGTCGCCGCATAGCTGTCACGTCAGACGGTTCCTCGGCCCATCGGTCGATGCCAGGACAGCCAAACGCAAATACCGTGTTAAATTGGTCTGCCCCGTACACGCCGTTTTGCAAGAACTCTTCTATGACGGCCTGCAGCATGAACTGGCCTGCTAGGTCGAACCATTCAGATGTGGGAAGCCAGTCGTCGTCCAGAGTAACCCTCGCAGCAGTGAGCTCGATAAAGAGCGGGAGTAGACAATGGAGCGAGGGCGTGCCTGCCACATCACTTACCCATCTCCTCTGGTGATGAGGCATGTTCAGAGCCGACGCAAGCCCGTTCCTGTTTTCAAAGAGGGCGCCATCGTCCAACGGGAATTCTCTGTGCTGATCGAATGGATGCCGCAGGGCAGGAGGGTGTCGAGTTTTCTCTTTCCAATAGTCGCCGCGGCTTTTGTTTTGCTCTCGAAGCTCATTCAGCGATTCTTCCGTTGTCCAGGTCTCATCGTGGTGAAATCGATGGGTGAAGACCAAGGCAAACTGCAGCAATCTCGAACGGAAGGCTGCCCTATTGTCCAAACGGCGTCCGTGATGCCGATACCTGAGCAAGGTCCTCCAATCTACATGTCCGATTAGCTGAATTGAGAACATTTGGTACCTGAGGGCTACGCACCGGCAGTCATGCTGACCAAGGCGTTCGGCAAGTCTGAAATGTAGGGATCGCTGCTGGCTCGCCATTCAAAGACCAATTCGGTGGCCTTGTAGACGAGGAAGTCCAAGATGGTCAGGTCGACGTCCAATTGATCCTCTTCCTCGTTCTCCATGCGCCGAGTGAGGTTGAGAAGGCCGTCTCGTGACTCTCCATTGCCATCACGAGCTTCTGTAAGCGTGTCTTGCAACTCCCGCTCCAAGTCTCGCATCATTGTAAAGGCGTGCGGTAGGCAACATGGGGAAAGGAGAGTTTAAAAGACGCGACGGCAATCAAGCAAGCAGGCAAGCAGTGAAGGCACAAGGCACTTGAAGGAAGGGCCACGAGACGGATAACGAACGACTTATAGCAGACCCTGTAGACCCGACAACGAGCCCACTCTTGTCAAGGTACACCTGGAGAGGGAGCCGACTGCTTTAGGCGAATAGTTCATGCACTCTCCACGACTGTCTGTGCCGTGTGCAGGGGGGATTTGCCTACAGGCATGCGCAAGCGAAGGCAGAAGGAAGAAAAGCCTTCATGAGTCGTGCGTAGCCTCGTCGTCTCCACCGCTTCCGCTAGCCAGAGCGTGTTTGAGAAACGCGAGGGGAGCGGGAGGGGAGCGGGATACGGCCTTGGTGGCTGTCTCTGATACAACGGCGTCGTCTTGTGTGAGCACTTTTTCCTGTTCCTTGTCCGTGTTCGCATCAACTGTCGTCCATGGCATCCATGGCATCCATGGATAGCTAGATACTAGATGAAGCCTAGTGCCCGGTCGGTACCCGCGGATGATCGCATGCCATGGGTCCCATTGTTGCTGCTGCTGCTGCTGCTTGCCGTCATGTATCCCCGCCACCACGCCCTCATCTAAGAATATGCGCGCCTGCACGCCGCTGTTGCGCGACAATGCTGTCTAAGAAGTCGTCTATATTATTTTCATCCTCCTATGCTAACCTCGGCCCTCTTTGCTATAGCCACACGTCGTCCCAGTCGCCGGCTGGACCCGCGCCGTCATGCCGTCATACATTCTCACACCCTCAACCCGCTCGACACGCACGCAATTATGCCCAGCACGTCGACCCGCCCCCGCACCGCGGTGATGTAGACCCGTTGAACTGGCCGGAAGCTATCAAGCCGCACAAGACGCCGACTCCATATCAGATTCTGACGTGTAAGAAGGGCGAGGCCTATAGCAAGAACCGCTTCTATGCCCTCGTCAAACTATACCACCCCGACCGATGCCACGCAACGTCGGCAGTCGCCCACCTACCCCTCCATGTGCGCCTGGAGCGATATCGCATGCTGGTCGCTGCGCACGATATTCTGTCTGATATCGAAAAACGCAGAGCATACGATGCATGGGGTCACGGTTGGCTAGGCCACCACAATACGCCCACCACACACCACCATCACAACTGGGAATACGATCAGCGGCGCTGGGCGAGTGATCCTCGCAATAACGCTACATGGGAAGACTGGGAACGATGGCACAACGAGAATGACGGCAGCAAAGAGCCAGATGCCCACACAATGCAGCTGTCAAACTTCGCCTTCATGTCGCTCCTGTTCGCCTTTGTTAGCATAGGCGGCGTCGTGCAGGGCACACGATTCAACACCTTCAACAATTCTGTAATAGAGAGGAGAGACCAGATCCATCGCGAAGCAAGCATGGAGCTACGGCGAAGTAAGCACGCCACCATGAGCGGGGATCGGGATGAGCGGATACGAACCTTTTTAGAGCATAGAGAATCGTCTATTATGGGCGAGCAATCGTACCAGCGCTTGCTCCCCCCGGCGGACAACTGCGCACCTGACGGAGTTAGGAGGCAATAAGAGCACATTTTGGCATACCACAGCTTTCCTATTCATCAAACGCACATTTTGGTGCATATCATGGGGTCTTCTATTGCTTTATCTTTGGCACATGAACGGAGCTTGGCGCACGGCTCGTGTCCTTGCTATAGTCGGCAATCGGTACGTATAGGGCATTTGGGAGGCATATCCTGGGTATTCATGCGCTTAGACACTACGCAATTTCAACGACAATCAATAAACCTAAATCAGCGCTGGTTTTGGTGGCACAGCATTGCCATTTGAAATACTGTTTCTTAGTCCATGAACAAGTCACCATCATGGCCTGGCATCTGCCTCCAAGAACACCAAGACTGGGCGCACTCGAATATCGCCCTTTTCGAAAGCAGACTGAAAACCCGTGAATCACAGGTGGTTACATACGGCCAGAAGCAATGGAGCATCAAACACCCAAGTTCTGCCACTGTTACTGTGTCAGCCCAAGGTACAGATCAACAGTTCTCCCGAAACCGTTTCAGCTTGGCGCAAGCCCGTTACAAGCAACAGATCCTATATGAGACGTTCTATCACTACACTAGTAACACTACTCAAGATGCATGAACGCCACGAATGCAACAATGCACACCTATCCCACCCGAAAGCTGAGGCCCCCTGGCACATCGATATTGAGCCTACAGCTCCGCCAGCAGCTAGTCTAGTGCGAGTACGCGTTCTTGATGTTGTCGTACTGCGAGTCGGGGTAGGCTAGCCAGTTGGAACTAGACTCGATACCTGAACCGTCACTGCCGCCGAGCCCTCTGACGACCTAGTAAACGCGTTAGCAACCCATCTTGCCCCATGCAGAGAAAGTACGTACGTTGGTGATGATGCTTCCCTTATCTGTTCGATCTCCGCTCACTTCCCACCACATGGCACCACCTAGCTTGTTCTGCTTGATATAGTCGACTTTGCGCAGGGCCATGTTCAAGGTGTCATAACTGATAAACATGCCAGTGGAGTTATCGTAGCTGAAAGTCGCGCCTGCTTCTTTACTGTAGTACTCTTTGGCGCCTTTCAAGGGCAGATCCTTGAAGTCATATACGCCCTTTTCCCAAGTGCCGTCACCAATACCATCATAGGGCAGCCCGGGGCCTCTAGTTTTGGTGAACGCACGACCGTACAAGGGCATGCCGAGGTTGAGCTTTGCGGAAGGCACGCCGGCGGCGATGTACGCATTTACGACGCCGTAGGTGTTGAAGGGTGTCGACAACGGGTTCGAGGTAGAGGCGTAGAGGTTCGAAGCGTGGCCGGATGTTTTGTCCCAGGAACCAGCGTAGTCGTATGCCTTGACTAGTTAGCAACCTTCCAACCACCAAAGGATAACGGCGTACACACCATCAAATTGATAAAGTCCAGTACCGCCGCAATCTTCCCAAGTGGCAATAACCTGTAATTCGTGTCGCCCGCCGGCGCTGCCATCGAAATCAGAAAATGCGGTTTTGTCTTGCGCCCAGCCGCATCCGCATATACCAGCGTTTCAGCATAGTCGTCCAATTGCGATCTCATCTCTGTCAACATCGCCAAAAACTGTGAACCTTGCGTCGTGTTTTGCGGATACTCCCAGTCGATATCAATCCCGTCAAACCCATAATTTTTCACCATGTCCACACACGATGCAGCAAACGCCTGACGCCCTTGGGCGGTAGAAGCAGGCGTATCCAAATGTTTATTCGTATTCGTGTACGTCCATCCTCCAATGCTCAGCATCACCTTCATATTCCGATTGCGGGCCTTGAGCATAGCTAGCTGGTTGACAGCGCCATAGACATTATTGCCCGAGTCAGACCACGAGTCACCCTGGTAGTGAATGTCTGTGTCGGCGTACGTGTCTGTCAGGACGACTGTCCCGTCGGATTTGATGTCGGCAAAGGAATAGAGCAAGTGAGTAAGCTTCTCGGCCGGGACTTGCTGGGGGAAGTATTTGCGCCCGTAGATGTCCCAGTTGCCGAAATAAGCGAGCGAGCGATAGCCCGCGCGGGCTTGGACATCAGGCTTCGGTTCCGAGGGCGTAGACGTCGCAATGGGTGTTCGTCCGGTTGGAGTCACAGTTACGATGGGTCGGCTGATCAGTTTCGCCACTCCATGGTTAGCCGTAATGGATGCCTGCATAGATGATTAAATGATGGCTTGGATTTGAATTTGAAGCGGATGTTGGGGCAATACGCGGGGTCGAAGGATATGCTACTCACGTAGGGTGCGCCAAAGCTACTCGGGTAGCGAGGATGGCCCGTGGGCGCGTTGGGTGCATTGTCGTCTATAGACGTAGAGGTGTTGTTGTCTACATCAGGGAACTAGACGAGTGTTAGATTGCATCGAAATTTATACGCTCAGTCCGGGGCTGAGTGTGAAAGGGGGGAGCAAAGTCAGGAGGAAGTAGAGCATCCTATTCTCATCAAGTGTGCGAGTACCACAACACTCAAAGTTTTCCATCTCTTTCACAAAGCTATGATCGTCGAATATCAAACTTTGTTGCCCGTCTTGAGCGTGCAGAACATTCCCGATATGCAAGGAAAGAACTGCAAACCTACCAGTAATTTGGTGATTTTATCAACCTGTTTCTCTAGCGAGTTGATCTTTTTCTCGACCCAGCAGTACCAGTCGCAATCATTTGCAGCCTGTGTCTCTTCCGCTGCGAGAACAGTGGTGACAGAAAGAAGAACGAGGAGGTAGAACCATTGTAAAGACCGTGCGCTCTAAATGCAGTTAGCCTGACACCTATAACATAACCGTAGTTGCAACGCCACGACTCCGTCCTCCCACTCACCAACATCTTCAAATCTCTCTTCCCGATAAACGAATGTGTTGCGATACCACACACCCGGAACATGCACAGCAACTCATCTTAAGAAGTCGCGCTCGCTTCATCAACTCTGCAGCTGCCCTCCCTTGATCTTGTGAACCCATTGTTTTGCTCCCTTGGTACCTTGCAGGTGGTCATTCCTCGAGCGAATCCGGCAAATCAGCGAACACGCGTATATTCTCATTCCTGAATCTGTCTCGCTAAATTTGGAGCGGTCTCGCCACGCGGTCGGTTCTGCGTAGGCTGTGACTGCTATTCTGGACGCCAGGCGCAGCGTTGCGTACAACATCTGCCGCCAAAAGGGATATCCAAGGAGGCAGCTGGCTGCGGGGTGTTGATTCATGTGACTTATGAATGAAGCCCTGATCATTGTTTGGATTCACGAGGGATGGTCATGGTTTCGGAATAAATGGGTCAAGAGGTGGAGCTCAGTTGATTGAGCCGAAATTGCTCGTACGCGGCCATTCCCGTAGTCACGAACATCCTGGGGAAGTTAGAAAACTCTTGAAAAAGTCACAAGAGTCGCCCGTTTGGGTGATATTCAGCGCAGCTGCTGTGGCGACACTGAATGACCCAAGAGAGCTCTAGGTACGGGCGTAAGCCGCAAAATGGGTGCTGAAGGGAAAGACATTCCTTTGGACTCTAAAGAAATTCTGATCTCATATCGCAGACACTACAACTGCAGACAACTGTAGTGACATCCTACGGAAGCACCGAACCAATTCACCGCGTAGCATCGACCAATAGATCCAAATCTGCTTAGTCTCCATTCTAGAGGCCACGGACACCAAAACTATTCAGTCATTTAGCTAACGCATAATGTGTCTAGTAGCCACATAAATTTAGCTTCAGATATGTATAGCTAATAATCAACAACAGCAGCGTCCCTAATTGACTCAAGAAAATTGGCTTGAACGAGCTTCGGCTTTCGAGGAACCTCAGCATCCGGCTGCACTCGCTTTAGCGACTCGTCTTTGAACTTATTTTATGGGACAACTTTAAGATTGTGACACCCGTCTTGAATGCCCTCCCGTCTCTACTAGTCCGAAAACATGGACCTAAGAATAGTGCCATCGTCACATAAGCTAGCTTGCTGACGCACCCTCTGTTTAGCGAATCAGCATCAGCATCCGCAACGCCACACTCACGATGCCTCTTATGGAAAGAGGTACTTCAGCCGCAGCAGATGACATCTGCAGCAGTAATTTGACTTTGCTGGATCTGATTGGTGCGTTGGACAAGAGGGCCGAGAGTTCAAGCCCAGAGAATTTCAAATGCATAAGGCTGGCTGGCTAGCGGGCCGTATACGAGAGAAGAAGGTTGCGCACGGTTGATGAGCCTTTCCTATCTATTCAAAATGACAAAAGTTTGAACTTAGATTCAGAGCATATAATGGTGGCCGAATCCTGATACAATCCGGACCCGCACGAACAGGATCAGCAACATCCACTTTCACCAGCCATGTCCTCCCCTGGCTTTTCGTCCGGTCAATCTTCACCACTGAAGCCAATGCATTTGTTTGACCCCAATTCAAGCACGCCAAACCAACGCGCGCCGGGATTTGAGGGTTATGAGCATCTCAAGAAGGCTCAAAAAGCCGATGCAGTATGTTTATCCACCTTTCGCAACCACATGGTAAGATCCAGAATCGAGTATACTGACCAAAACAGCACATAAAAGCCAACATCCGTCGTTTACGCGTCGTATCCCGCGTTGTCGCCTTCAGTATCTCCGTCGCAGTCCTAGTCCCTATAACCATGACCCTTGTCAAATTTCTCAGCACAAGAGACATATACCGCAGCGTCACAACTTCGACCGGCGAAAAGATGTCGCGTACCGCGTGGGCGAAAGACACAAAATCATGGCCAACATGGATGTACTTTTCCGTCGCTGCTGTTTCCATGCTGCTCAACTTTGGCACCGTGTTCAGTTACCTGTTTGGCGTCGACGAGGCGAATAGGGCAAGCCATGTGACTTCAGTCTTCGGCTGGATCATCACGGCAGGGAATCTCGTCGTTTGGAGTGTAGCTGCGGGTACGTACCGCTCGGAAAAAGACAAGCATGGAAAGAGCAATGATCTTTGGGGATGGACCTGTAGTGCACCTGCAAGGACGATCCAGAAAGAGTTCGCTGGTGAAGTGGACTTTAATCGATATTGCACTGTGCAGGTAGGTCATGTTAATACTCTCGTTCGGGATCTACCCATACTGATTGTGTTGCAGAGCGCGAGTTTCTACATCGGCCTCGCTCAAGTGGGAGCGTCGTTGTTGACGGCAGTTACCTATGTCATGGTGTTCATGAGGAATCGGTCGAAGAAGAACTTTCAGAGGCAGTTGAGATTGAGTGGATTCGAGCCAAGTAGACGGTAAAGAGTGTTTCGCAGCCTTCATGTCATCGAGCGATGCGATCTTTGCGAAATAGCTGACAGGGTCTGTCGATGACTCCTATGGGGAGTAATGTGGAAGGCGTTAGCTTGACGGCTCGATAAATCATTCGCAATATTTGTCAACATGCAGGTCGAAGCATTGCAAGGCGTCTCACCAAAACATCAATGTCTCCCTCTCTTAGTCAAGAAGCCGGGGTAAATGCAAGATCTAAAGATGAGACACAAGACACCAGATTTCAGTGCTTCCGTTCCAAGTTGGGATGCGAGCCTCCGGCATCAAATCTGTTGAGACACCATGACATTTTCTTTGAGCAAACATGAAGATATAGCGAAGCAGCCTCGCAAGTTTCACAGATCTAGTTCAAATTTATATACACTGATTTTCTATCCAAAAAGGGCAAGAACATCTGCATAAGGGAAGCTAGATGAAACCTTCGGAAACAACAATCTGACGAGACCAAGGAAATAAAAGTGCACGCTTAGACAATGAGCTTCGTGGTAGACGAAGACGAAGACGTGCCGTTGGAAATGGGGTCCGTTCCCTTTCCAGTCTGCGCTTTGACATAGTCGTTCATCATCCTGGTAATGGGCGCCTGGCCTCCCCATAGAACGGCCTCGGCCATGTCGTCGATCATCTTCATCGTCATAATGACAGCACCCTGCGCCGGCTTCGTCTGGCCGTACTTGTCTTTTCCGGAATTCTCCTGGCGACGCTCAGGCTTAGCTGGCTCAGTGCTGTTAGATGGACCCTCGGGGGTCGGACGTTCACCCTTTGCGATGGAGCTGGAAGCGGGTGCCTCGGCAGTAGGAGTTTGGCTTTCGGTGACTGGAGCTTCGCTCTGAACAGCGGTGGGCTGTTTGCCTTCCGTAGGACGTTGGCCCTCAGTAGGACGTTGCCCTTCGGGAGCAGGTTGAGCAGGTTGAGCAGCCTGGGCACCTCCCATCATTTGCATGGTAAGAATGTACTCTCCATCCACCTGACGGACAGGGATGGCAATTCGCATGTTAGTTTGGTCGAGGACTGCATCAGCCTGAATGGGGGTGAAGGTGGGCGCAAGCAACAGCTGAGTCGCAACTGGGTTGTTGCCGTTGGTTGGTGTACCAGCCTGGATTTGGCGAGCAACCTCCTTCCTGAACTCACCCCGGGTGAGTCCGCGGCGCTGGGTAGCGGCACCGCCGAGGTTTCCAGTGGCACCACCGGGATTCTGGAGGACACCACGTTGAGCAACGGCGATGGCGACCTGACCGGTTGGTGAAACACCCATGGCCTGCATCATCTTTTGAATACGGACCGCATTGACTTATAAAATATTAAAACATATCAAACTTATAATCGCAATAGTACATACTGGGCATTTGAACAACAGTCACTTGTTGGTTCAAGTCTGGGGTGACGGCAGCTAGGTTTGTAATAACCGAGTAGCGGTAATCATCTAAGGTCTGCTCAGTCATCTAGAAAGGGCGATTTTGCATGTTATGAGAACTTACTGACTACCTGCTGTCCTTGAAGTCCAGCCAACATGCCCTGGTCAACACCATCCTTGACGTCGACGTTCATTGTCATGGGCTGAGTCGCACGGGTGGACATCCTGAATCCGTCCTGGAACTCGTTTTCTTGAAGACCGGTACCCTGAATAGCAACTGAGGTAGCTCCATCACTGCCAAATGGAACGACCAAGGTGTTGGTCTCGATCGTCTGACGACCGACGACCATGTACTCGCCGTCGAGCTGGTTTCGCTTGACCATGCGTACGGTCAGGTCAGTGCTTTTAAATGTCAGCAATGAACAGTGCCCGCTTCTAGGGTTTTCTTACCTGTTGACGCTTCTCATCGTCTCCTGAATCATCCAAGTTTGCCTATCCGGTGAAAGCATGGCAACGTACGTGTTGTCTGGCTGAACAGCGGCATTCTGCAGGTTCTGCATAGTCATGGCCATCTCAACCTGTCCACCGACCAAGTCCGTAGCCTTGTTAGTGCTAATGGTCATTGATTGTGGCGTGATGGCGACGAAGGGCTGACCGGTTGACCCTGTAACCTGGTTCGCGGGGATGGCGGGAGTTTGTTGATTAACAATTATCTGTTGCTGTTTCTGGGAGAAGGTCTCCACTTTTGAACGATCGGGAAATTGAAAGGAGTTGAGCTTCATCTGTACGGATTGGTTAATTATTGTTGACAATGTTGAAAGGGACGCCCAACTTACATCGCCATTTACATTAAGCACTTGATTGAACTGCGCCTGCGTCTGAGCTAGCGCCGGCGTGCAGCTCAAGAAGAGAACCAAAAGCGAGGAGACAGTACCGGACGTCATTTTGAATAGAAAGGCCACCTGGGCTTTAAGTGACAGATTAAATATAAGAAAAGATGAACCGCTACGAACGACAGGAAAGAAGGAACGACGAAGCAATTGACCAGACTTGCTGTGCAGAGAGGTACTCACGCCGTTCACTGCGGCAGCCCAGTCTATATGAGGATTTTTAGTCTCAGGGCATAACTTTGAGCTTCGTCCCGGAGTATCTGCTTTCCGCTCATCTGGTTTCAGTATCCTGCTGCAGAGTTTAGTGGTGGCCAGCTCCGGATGTAAATCGTGCTAGGTGGTAAGGTGTCTGCCCATTCAGGTGGGAGACTGCACGAAAACCTTGCCTAAACCATATCCATTCGACGACACAACCGCGAAACCATAACTTCTTGCAGGTTTGGTGTCGGACAAGCATACTCCGTACTGGCGGAATTGCTCTTCTGTACATGTTCAGTTTCAGAAGCTAGGCAAATCGTTTGGTTTCGGGCATCTCGATGGAAGAGCTTAGTTCTCATTCGCAACGAAACGCATTGAGAGTGGCGAAGCTGTTCTGCAAAGAGTCGAGGGGTCGCACGGTATACCATGTACTGAAAGTCATGCAATGACATTCTTGTTTAAAGCTTGTGAAGTACGAGGCGATAGAGAGTAAATCCGAACGCTGGCTGAAGCAGCTTCGACTCAGCGTTCCCGGTTTTCAACGACTAGAGTTCTGACGGGTGTGGATCAAATGAACAAAAAGTTAGTATGACACCGAAGGTACTTTTCGAAGAGTTGTACTGAGATCATGTCTGATAGCCTCTGAGTCTTGTCGGCGGGACCCCAGATTCTTCAAATGGTCAAACAGTGATGTTTGGAGTAGTGTTTCGCCATGAAGTTTGCTGTACGGAACAGATCGCCCTCGGCTGTTTAAGCTTCCGACTAGTCTCAACTGGGCCAAGCGTCCATTCATGTCACCCATGCTCCAAGGCTCGGCATCTCAAAACATGAACACTCATGTTCGAAGCTTCCTTGTTGGTGGTGTTAACTCTATTCTCAAACCTGTATTCATTCTGCGGCAAATTTTTCGCTAAGTGCAGGTTCTGAAAAATATTTCAGGAACTCGAAGAGTCTGAGACAGGATTTAGGAAAGGCAGTGCTATGGAAGGTAATCTTAATGAGAAAATTTGTGTGAAATATTCTTCTCAAGCACATGCGAGAATGCTCTACTGTGATTGCGATTCACGAACAAACAATGCAAAGAGAATGTTGACTAATTGATCTGATTTTTTTTTTGATTCCATCTACTAAGAACGCCGATGCATGCTTCGAATATCCCATAGCTTATAATGGCCCAAAGAGTCTAGAAGATAGCTTTCAAAAATATCTATCAAAGCTTACATGCAAGCAGCGCCGTCAATACCAATAACCTTTCCGTTCACCCAGTCGCCATCCTTGGAAGCGAGGAAGCAAACGACGCGAGCAATGTCCACTGGCTGACCAACACGGTCATGGGGTGACCAAGTGCAAGCATACTCGTCGACCTGGTCGTCGCTGAGCTTCTCACCGCCGGGGATGTATTCGCGGCAGACGGCGTGGTACATGTCCGTCTTGATACCACCGGGGGCAACACAGTTGACAGTGACCTTCTTCTCACCAGCATCTGTATTGCTTATTAGCAAGTAGTTCCGGGGGGACACCGAGACTTCACTTACCGATGGCCATGCATCTGGTGAAGGTCTCAATAGCACCCTTCGAGCCAGAGTAGATGGCGTGCTTGGGTACACCTTTGGCCTGACCGGTGATGGATCCCATGAGGATAATTCTGCCACCGACTTCCATTCTCTTGTACGCCTCCTTGGCGACAAAGAACTGGCCACGGGTGTTGATGTTGAAGACGCGGTCGAACTCCTCCGGCTCAACGTCCTTGAAGTGACCGAAAGAAACGACACCAGAGTTGGAGCAGCAGATGTCGAGCTTGCCGAAATGCGCAACAACATCATCCATCAGCTTCGCGGTCTCCTCGACCTTTGCAACGTTGGCCTTGAAGGCATGAGCATCGGAACCATTGCCCAATGCCTTAATCTCCTTGACGACCGCCTCGGCGCCCTCAATAGTGTTGGCGTAGTTGACAGCGACCTTTGCGCCGCGTTTCGCAAGCTCGATAGCCATCGCCTTTCCGATACCACGGCCTAAACATTGGTGAGTAATCCATGTTTCACATCGTGTATGGGGTCGTTGCTTACCTGAGCCGGTTACAACGGCAACCTTGCCCTCCAAGCTCCAAGTCTGCTCGATAGTGGCCATTTTGAATTTGTGAGGTGGACGTTGATTGGGAGAGTTCTTTACTTGTTGAATCCTTAAATGTCTGCTGTGGAGATCTGATATGAGTTGCTGTGATGATGATCTATCTCAAAGATGAAGACAACAACATATATACCCCTACGACTCGGGACTCCAGCGGAGAATGATTTTAATGAACAGTTCTTCTCCATCTAACTCCCGTCGGTATCTCAACAACCATAGTTGCCCCAACTGAGCGCCTCCGGCTCGGAACATAACGGCGCCTCCGAGAGTCGTGAGTCCTAGGGCTGAAACAGCATACTCTGTTCCGTCTTGTGCTCCCCGTAGGAGAGCCTGAGTCTCAATTTGTTTAGGATTATAACCGGAAAGAGGGGCCGAGGCGATCAAGGGTGCACTGATTGGATGACTGCGTAAATGCCGAGGCCGGCTGAGCAACAACAATGACCATCTTCGTCTTTTCCCAACTGCGAGGAAAATATTTGTGGCCCCAGGTAGAGCTCGAGATAACGGGAGGTGCCGTGATCACGGTTCGAGAAATACCCAAAGTCACATTGTGCATCAGAGTGTCGTAGTGGCACAGATATCTACCACATGTAAGTTCCTTCATCGTAGATGACGGCTAATAGAGACTTGTCACGAAGAATAATATAGAAGATAACTCACCGTGAAGATTCGAGTTGGCCATAGTCACGTGACCCTATTGAAGCGGGGAGGTGCATTGGCCAACAGGGTCTCCAGATCTCTCTCAACCTCCTTGCTCTTCGCAAAGCTTTCCCAATGGCTCCCCATTCCCAGTCCTGACGTCTTGTCGAGGCCTGCAAAGTCCGAGGACGATCGGTTAATGAGTTTACGATTCGGCCGCAAATCCTTGGCTAGGTGTCGCAATCAACGATTACTCGTGTCCGGCCCACAGTGGGGACCCGCCGGTGACGGCTCTAGTCCGTGCATTTTCCAACCTCACTTCATCTCGAGTCAGCATGCTAATGAAAAGAAAGCCCAAAAGGTCAAATACGAGCCAACTGCGTTTTCATATCGAGCACTATACATGTTCGAAGATACGGACAAGTGTCCATATTAGACGGACTCAAATTGGAAGTATTACTACCTTGAGCGCAACCGAAATTCAGGCCTCTTCTTGACGCAGATGCTGAACAGAGTGTTGGCATCGAGAGATGATTCCTGCGCTTCTGCACGAGTATAGCCAAGCGCTCTTCAATGACCCTCGCCGTAAGCAGAATGTTTTGTCGCCAGCGGCATGCGGTCTTATCAGTGTTTTATGGCAGTGGCTCAGAGTGCGCACCATGAATCCCTCTATAGTTCTCATTGGTTTTCCAGCGCATATTTTAATTCGTCATCATGCAATGGCATCTCACTGCGCGTTAGTGTCGATGAGCTGGCTGCAGTATGTCGGGAGATTCGGATGTTGCTGCATCATTCTTCATTCTCCCGCACATTGATACTTCCGGAGGTGAAATGAGCTCGTTGAGACACGGATGAAGATAGACCCCTCAAACTGACTCCGAAGCACATTAGTGAAGCAGACCGAAATGTAGCGGAGGATCTTGGTAGGTGAAGAATTCGCAGCGCGTAATTGTAAAACATCAATATTAACGAGAGGCCTAGATCATGGAACCATTGATAGACGGTCATGCAACATCACAGAAGAGACGATCTCTTTCCGTAGTTTGTAATACACACCAGTCAAAGTAGTGTTCAATCGCTCAATTTCTCCCACAAGTGCAATCAACGTGCATATCACTTGACTGTACATTCGCCAGCGGCCGTTTCCAGAATAGCCGATGGGCTAGTCGCGTCAGAAAAGCCCTCGTGGGTCTTCAAGCTATTCCTCAGCCGCTTCGCGTTTCCCCTCAATCCATTCTCCGTTCAGAAAACCAACATTAGCGAGCTACTTGGGGCTTCCTCTTCCGTCTGCTCCATGTCATCTCTGACCAAGGCATTCATTATTAAGTAGCATTTGCTGGAGATAATCCTTCGAAGTTAGCAAAGGATCACATGAGTTACTGCATTGATTGAACAGCACACTCCAGTGCCCTAAGTTGACCTAATTGTACTTCTTCTAATGTTTATCACGGGTCTTCTACGGAAAATATTCTAAAGTATTAGAATTAGCAGTCAAACTATAAACTGAGATAATCAAGAACTACGAGCAAATAGGAGTAGTACAAATACACATTAAGGCCGTATAGACGTCACTTCTGCAGTCAGGCACTGTTCGGTTACTATCCGGTGAAGTCTCCGAAGGTTGAGCTTAGATTGGTAGACAGGCAACGGCACGAAAGATCTACATCTTGCAGGTTCAACCAGCTCAGCAAGGGTGCCACAATGATTCTGCTGCCATTCACTGTCCGTCTAGGGGAAGCCTGCAGCACCAACGGCAACAGTTATCGCCGACTCACCGGGCGTGGCATGAAACTTACGAGGCTGCATTCGTACGTGGACTGTGCCTTGATAACTGATGTCAATACTCAGTTCCGATCGCACGGTCCAGATACGCAGAGTACGGCCAAAGTGCGGGCTTCCGTAGGATGAGCCGCACCTCGTGTTTAGTATCAAGGTTGGAAAGAAACCCGTTGATCTTAAGTTCCGTGCTGCTTGGAGTCCTTAGTGCCGTAGAGCAGTGTGATGTGAAACGACGTCAGCATCAAACTGAAGTAGATCTGACCGCTTTACGTGGCCACTTATCTCCCCTAGGCTTGCATCTGGTACTCGTATAGATGACAGTGCAAGTTGAACGCGTAAGCTTGTCAAGCAACGAACCTGCAGGGAGGTACCTTGGTACCGGGACTCTGTCATTGTGACACCGAAGCATATGCCCGTCCACAACTGAGCAAAATGAGTAGCATGTTAAGGGCCTTCATGGCCAAAGCCCTATAGGCTTATACAACCCCAATCAGACCGGTTGCTGTGGGCCTACCGGTACCAGTTGCCCGGATGCAGCGACGTTTTTGGACTACCAGCGCTGCTCCCGGTGATTAACAAAACATGGTATAACCTAAAGAGTAGTGCGGCGCGGGTACGGTGTGACGGAGGACCTATATGCCGTCCCGGAAATGGAGGAGATGCGAAGTGTACCTGTGCAAGACGAGTTATGTGCCTCAATCGTAGTTCCTTTGATTTGATGTGGTGTCCCATTGAATCACCGATTGCAGACGTTTGCATACCATCATGTACTCGAACCCTATATTCGTTATCCAAGCCAAATCACTTGCATTATCACTCATTTTTAACCGCTTCCTTGGTGGCATATCCAGATGATCTCAATCACTGCTCTTCTCTCCTAGGGGTACGTAGGCCATCGTTTAGGGCCCAACCTATCCCACACATCCCATGGGATAGAACACCCCGCCACAGTAGTGCCGCCTCTCCATGCATTACCACACACAGGCTACCTTACCCACCCCACCATCATCCTCCAACCGTCGAAGACACCAATCATCAAATAACCCCAACGCACGCCTGACTCACATTTGAAACACAAGCGCAGAAGGGAACAAGCTGGAAGAAGACGCTTTTGCAGATCGCCAAGAGGGAGGACCTCTGTGCAGAGAGAGAGGATATATATCCGTGCGCTACAGGTCGGCCGTGACAAAGAGACTCGTCACTCCGTCCCATGTCGTGCCAGCAGTAAGCCCCACATTGACGACTCGAGTATGAAAGGGTTGTAATTGATGTGGAACCTGCCCCAAGCTGAAGGCCACCAAAGACCTTCCCCATTGGCAGCTTAGAAAAAGAGACACTCTCGCCTACAAATGCCTACATCATACGGTCGCCAACGGCACTTGGACTCATCGTCTTTCTGACAAGGTACGCTTTAACACTCTATTCACTGCTGCTTGCTGCTGCTTAATCATCATACCTATGTACTATACATTATGAGCTGCGGTGCAGTCCATTGCTGATAACAGTCAGATAGGTCCGGAATCAGTCTGTAAACGCTGTCCAGACCACTCGAGTTACCGCCCATGCGTTTGCCGATGAACGCCGTACCGGGAAATATGTCCGAAGACCCTCCATACTGTCCAAAGCAACTTTCGACGCTGACGCTGATAAGAATCTACAAGAAAAGATAGACAAAGGCTGGGAAGTGACTATAAAGGAAACGCCAATACGCCTGCTAATACGTCATGTGTCAGAAGATAACAGCGAAGATGATAAGAGAAAATAAAGGAAAGTGCGATCGTTCAGCCTCTGGCCAACTTCTCCAGCTTGCTGCGGATACCATCCGAGAATCTGGTTGCAACGCCTTCATCGATGACGTCGATGCTGTGAGACAGAACAGCAAAGCCGTTATCGAGCGGCACAGGTGTTCCATCCCGCTTGGTAAGAGTTGGGATGCCCTCTCTCCGCGAAAGGAACCGGAGGATCGTTTGATGGTCTGCTGGTAGACGATCTACGGAGAACGCAGCATTGGGTGGTGGATACGCCCCTTGCTGATTGGTACTGATCGACTGGTTATGAGTTAAAGAATCAGTCCAGATGACGAGCGCGGCACGATAGACGGCACCGGGCCACCATGGCGGACGGATGCCTCGAGGCATCTCTCTGACAAGACGGAGGATCTGACCAGCGTGGGTGATTGCCTCTTGCACATCAGAAAGACACTTCTTGTGCATCCAGAGTACCTGCTGGTACGAGCCGTCGACAACCTCGCGTCTCGCAAGTCTCTCGATCTCAGGGAAGTTGGTCACAGCATTCATGCTGATGAGATGGAACATGACAAGGTTACTTTGCATCATAGGGCAAATAGGGTTGGACTTCATGTACCGTTGCGCCAGGTCGAACCAACGCCCCAGTAACGCCTGCGCCTCCTCGAGACGCAAGCGAGTCGACGCCGCAGTGAGCGCCCTATTTCGCGACCTTGGCGCTACGCTATCGGAAAAGCAACTGAGGAGTTGGCAATACTGGCATACTAGAAGCTGTAACGGGTGAAGGAGCAGACGCAAGTGCATGGGAGTAAGATGGACCTCTTGAACATCATGGACGACGATCTCGTCGTCGAGGAAATGGCGGAAGAGATCTCTCAGGCACAGTGGTCGAGCCCCTGAACCCACCGAGGAGTAACCATTGGAGAACTCATGCACCTGGTTGAACATCTCGGACCACACAGCAGCTGTGGGAGCCTGCCAAAGTCGATCTGAGTCCGGCATAGGTGCCCCAAACTCCGTCACCGCGAATAGAGGCGCCGTGTCGTGGAACAGAGACAGATCCTGGTCGACCATCACCCAAGAGTAGATAAGGCTAGAAGAAATTTAGTAAGCGTGGTTCACGTGACCAACAGGGATCCAAGCTTTTCACTACTTACCGACTTCGGCTCTCTTGCTGAATCCAGTCCCGCCACAACGCGTCCGTCGTTGTATTCCCATTCATGTGAGGAGTTACGACCGACCGAGGCTCTAGTATACCCGAATGTCGAAGCATCGCAAAATACATACCCCGCTGGCCCATGGCGATGTCCATCTGCCACTTGTCGCCACTCCACGCCGCCTGGACAGTAAAGAGAAGAGCAGCCCGCAGTACAATAGGGTCACCAGCCATGATGATGTTTCTCTCGATAAGGTCGAAAAGCGAAATCCGGCACGCTTCCGTGAACCCGCCTGTCAACCATCTCGCCTCGATGGACGGAATGTTCATAGCACCCTGCGCAATCATCATGAGGATCAGTAAACTCGATGCTTTGTCGTTGTAATTTTGCATCAGCTCATTGGTGTCCAAAATACCACGGGAAGAGGTAGGATAGTAGCGTTCGAAAGAGTTGGCATACGATTTGAGGAAATACTCCAGCACGCGGGCGGGCGGAAGAAGAACGAAGTTGGAGCCAGATGCAAGGGATCCAGGAGATTCGCCACTACTGGATGAGGTGCTTCCGTCTTTGTGAATGTCTAGAGCTTTGTGCAGGAAGCTTTGAGTGATTGCGAGAAGCTTGTCCCGGGTTGCTTCCTGTAGTTTCGCAACCGCTATCTGGCCGCCTTGTTGGAAGTCCGACTCATCCCACGATGGGATCCAGCTACTCCAACCTTCATGGTTCTTCAAGCTCAGTTCAAGGCGATCAAGATTCATTTTGGCGGTGCGAGGACATGAGCTTGAGGGAATGGAAGGAGTGCAACGGAACACAGTCCAGCCATCCTGGGCTGCGATGATAGCACCAAGATCCGGAATCCCAGCGTCTGCGATGGAAGAATGCCGATTAGAAGGGTAAAACATGGAGGCTGAACTTCCTATTTGCAGATCTGAGAAAGACTCATCCATTCGTGGCGTCTGTATGGGAGTTTGCACAGGTCCAAATGCCTGCGGAGGAGACATTTCTGGCATCATACCAAGAATTCCGTCTGTAGGAGGCCCCATGTTGATGTCCATGCCCATGGACATCATCAGTGAGGGATCTATCCGCATTGGGTCGAAGTCCGCATCCATGCTCATGGTACTCCAAGGATCCATCATAAACTGCGGGGTTTCATTCTCGGGTTGATCTCTCACTGTTCTAACGAAGTCGTCGTATCCGGACATTGGCGTGGAAGAGACGAAGCCGTTCATGCTATTGACTGGCGTAGACAATGGCGATAATAATGAGGATGCTTGAGGAAGTGGGTTGGGGGGAGATTGGTCGAAAAAGGGCGGTGTGTTCGATAACGAGATGTGAATGGCTTTGTCTTCGGGAGTTGGATGTGAGAGGGGCTGCACCGGCTGCGAAATAGATGGGTTCCGCGAGTGCGTTATCGATGGCGACTGCGATTGTCTTCGGGACTGGGGCTGGCCGATTGGAAGGGGTGGAGGCTGCTGCATCTGCGGTGGTGACGATTGTCCGTTCGCCTGCTGGGGTTGCACCTCCTGAGAAGGAGATGTGCTATTCGAAGTAATCTGCAGCTCCGTGTTGCTTCCATTCTCGCTTGAGCTTCCACTTTCCGCTGTTACTCCTTCTAGGGGTCCCACGACTCTCTGGACGCCCTTGGACGCTCGCCGAGTCGGCCGTAACGTGCATTTCAGGTTTCTTTGCGCACATCGACTACAAGGAAACTTCTTGTCACACTTCGTCTTGGTCTTTGCACAGTTGCTGCAGGCGATTGGCGTGCGGCCGGCAGATTTAGGTATTATACCCTGCGGTGGGAGGCCTTCTTCGTTGTTCTGGTTACGGCCGTGTACGGTATAGTGTCGTTGCAGAAGGTCCCTAAAAGTTTGGTCAGCTCTTCGACGTCACGAATAGACGCAACGAAACGAAAGCAAGCCAACGAAGAGAATCTTGGGACCAAGAACATACCGTCGAGCGAAGCTCATGTGGCAGGTGAAGCATTTAAAGGGTTTTACATTGGTATCTGGTCGTGGGAGTGATTAGTGCGAGACTCGTGGCAGGGCTCGGACTATGGTTCGGGCAAAGAGGGGCAGACTCACGGGTGAGGATGTGTCGTTCCAGGTGCTCGTCCCTGGTAAAAGACTGACCACAATAGGTACAGAAGACCATTTTGGCGTTGAGACGAAGCAAGTACGGTTAATAAAGCAAGGCTGTAGAGGTGGTGGTCGACGAAACAGCGAAGAGCAATTGGGGAGAAAGTCCAGGAGGGGACGAAAGAAGACGCCGTCCTTTAGCAGGCTAATACAGTACTACCAACATCAAGCCGGAAATCGAGTTGCTAACACAAAGTGGGGACAGCAAAGGCGGGGACGCATGTACTTGGCCAAGGACAGCAGAGGGAATTCTTGTTCCAAGGGGGGCGAAGTTTGGTTGTATGTGTGTGTGTCTATAGTCGTAGCAGTCTTCTAAGCTGGTAGAGCGGATGAGAAGATGGAGACGGTGCCCATGGGTAGGATATGGCAAACGTCAGGGTGTATCCCTGGGCGTAGCCCGTAGGAAAGACGTGTGTGAGGATGGCTATGGGGGCTGACTGCAGAAGAGTCTGGTGGCAGTGCTCTGGAGAGAGACAAGATCAAACAAGAGGAGGCCTAGTAATACGTCTGATGTCGAGCAGGCAGAGGACACTTGGGGGCGGGAAAAGAAATGCAGATGAGATTCGAGGATGGGCACCACGGAAGAATTGGCGTCAGTAGAGTGAGCACGTCAAGGCGTCTGAGCAGAGAGAGCGGGTTCGGCCCAGGTGCCAGGCCCAACGCGGAGAGTTGATTATGCATCTGAGCGTCGCTGAATTCATCAATTGAGGAGCGCTCCAGCTGCACGAGAGCGATGAGCTAGTTCCTCGCAGTTACATGCAGCGCCAGGCCCTTGGGTGGGCCACGTCTCAACCCGGTTAGCCTGCAGACCTGCTTTGGGCGCCATGGGGGGGTGGGGACGGCTGCACAGCGTTGATGATAAGACTCAGCGAGCGCAGGGATGCATCTTGGAGATCTGCACTGCGGGCTGTGAGTTGGTGGTCGACGAGGGTCGAGGTTTGTGCTGCTGAAGGCCGGGGGGACGAGCGCCGAGCCCGCGTCAGCACCCACCCTACTGTACTGTACTGTACCAACCGAACCCCCAAGCGGCCGCCGTCGTGGAAAAAAGACACCTCCAAGACAACCCGGGCACTCGTAATGTATTATTCTGTAATACGCAAACATTACTGCCAACCCTGTGGATCCTCCGCCTCCGACACGCAGGCGAATCAGCACCCGCGGACCCTCCCTGGCCGGGCGGGCGTAAGGTACACCAGCTTCTGAGTCTATACAGACAGACGCTCCTCGCATGGCAACCTTTGACTGCTGCTAGCCGCCGTGAGCACAGCCCGGTCCAGCCCGTATCGCAATGGATACGACTCAAACTTTGGCAGCATGCTCTCGCAGGTAGCGATTGCACGACACGAGATCCCACGCCGTAGAGAGGTAGGTCAGCAACACGCGGCTGAGTAGTGCTCTTGACTTGACACGCGCCGCGAGAAGCTGCTAGGGCAGGGCCTCTCCCTGTGTCGAAAGCGATGTACGGTACCGTCTTCTCTGCCCTGCTCTTTGACGTGGCTCTCGGATGGAGCGACCCTGGCACAAGAGGCTGTCCATCTTCACTGGGTACGAAGTACAGCCGCCACAGTCCGTCGCAGTCCAAATCATTATTGTCTGTCCCTGCGAGCCTGGCGCCTCCCCCACAAACCCAAAGTAACAACTTGTATTGAACGCCAGCCATGTTGACTCTAGACGCTGCTCCTACTCCCTCTTGTCGTCATTTCCTGTATCTTGACACGCCATATCCCTCGCGATGTGTATCGAACGGTGAGCCCACTGCGTCACTGGCGTTGGCGTGCGCCATCTATTATTATCACAGGAAGCGATCTACGCCGGTCAAGCTTTTCAGGCAACCCTTAGTACCACTTCCTAATCCGCATTTCACGTGCCTTCCGATCATGTGCTCTAGATGCGGCTACTTATCGTCTATTACCGCTCCATTCGCGCTCAAGGCATGGCGGTTTATCGACCACGTACAATGGCGGTGCTGTTGAGATCACCATCTCGTACACACTGCTCAAGCTCTCATTGCAATCTTCTTTTCTTTGCAGCTAGGGTGCCATGGAGCCCTCACAGCATTGAATCGATAATGGACTATCACTTGCTCGGCGACGTGTCCGCCTCAGGTTGCGTCTGCGCTTATCATAAAACTCGAAAAATACAAAGAAACTCGGCTCCTTACCCAAACGGAGCAAACGCTAACTGTGCTTATATCCATGGACCACTGCGACATGCCGGGGGCAAATGTCAGATTGCACATTCGCCCAGCATATCATCTACACCGCAGCTACTATCTCTTCATGATGCAAATAGTGACGGCTCAAGTACTCTGCGCGCACAGTAAGCCCCAAGCGGTGCGCGCGACGAAGGCTACCTGAAAACGTGACACTCCGGGGAAGATCAGCAAGTCAGTCAACAAAACGAAGGATCAATCTCCAATTGGGAGCCTGCAAGTGTCGCTGATGAAGCCAGCGTGCCGAATCTAGGAAGCCCACGCACTCGGAACCAGCCCTAAGTGCCGATCTTCTACTCAAACGGGGAGCTCGAGCCAGAGATCTTCCCAACAAGGTTGGAGAGGGCGACTCGCTTCCATCTCTATTCCGGGGTCTACGCCACGGCTTGAAGCTTGCGAAGCACTCCAGCTGGGGCAACGCAGCTTTTGGGAAGCCATAACAGACGTTTTGTATCACGACACGAGGCGACCAAGTACGACACGAAAACATTGAGAATAGGTATTGCTTCATCTGTGGATCCGTGAAAATGTTGCTGCTTTTGAAACAGGTCTAGTGATTTTGCTACCACTGTTAGTTTCCCACGAGAATCAAGTTCGCAAATGGCCAGTCCCCAACAAGGCTGTTGGATACGGCCGTCATCACCTCGGACCGTCGTTTCGTGTACCAGGCGTCCCAAGTCGGCTGTCCCCGCTGGTTTGCAATTACACATGCTGGAATCAAATTTACAGGAAAAAGCCATGTTGCAGATTGCGAACACCTTTTGCCCCTCTTCACTTTTCCTTATCTCGACAGCACTCAGGGACCAAGCAGTTGCCTCATCAACGCGGCCCGCGACGCGAAAAGCCAGATTCATCCCAATCAAAGACACGAGAGGCGCTCCTAAGCGATAGCGATCTACAGGCTAAGGCGAGCCAAGACCATGGCCCCAGAGTACCATACTTAGCAATGCGCTCGCGAACTGCGTATCTCAACGTCTCTCCGTATCCATCGTCTATGCCCCCACAATTGGTCAAACTGGGTTTTCCAACATTTTGAGGCGCCCTGTGGACAGCAGTAGCTGCCACGCTCCGTCTACGCACACACAGTGACGTCGAAAAGAAGCCACGGCTGCCTTAGTGGGGGTCTGCGTTGTTGTGGTGGGCTACTTCGTATACAAGGACGAATCGCTGCCTTCGAAAGCACTGTCAGCTAAGAGCCATGCCGGGAGCCGTCTAACGCACCGCAACTAGCACGTTGCTCCTCACGACTTTGAAGACCCTGCGTGAGAAACAAGTAGGCATCCTGGCATCATTCAATGGCTTCTATTTCATTGCTACTTGGAACTCCACACCTCGCAAAACCCTTCCCATTTCCACGCTCGAAGTGCTGTAGGAGAGATATGACAGGAAGAGTGATCGATAAGGGCTGCGGAGGGCTGGATTAGACGGGCTGACCCGAAGAGAGGCCGTCCACTCCATGTCGAAAATTCAGAAATATGCAAATGGAGCGGTAGGGCTGGCCGCCTAGCACCTATTGCTGTTCTTAGGCATTGGTAGATAGTTGCAAGCAGGACGATCGATTTCTACGATTTCGCTAACACTTTCCTCCGAGCTGCTTGTGATCGTCATCACAAGAAAATCGAAAACTCCGCAGGATGCTATTGGGCGGGGCGGGAGCGGACAGATGACTCTAGCTGCCGAGAGATCCCGCTGCGGAGAAATAGCGTCACCATTAGGCAGCATCTCAGCATCTCACGACGTGCGGTTCCCCTCCGGATATGTTGCTGCTGACTCGATTTTGTGAGCTGTCACCAGTCTCACCAATTGGGCTATCGCACGACGATAAGAGCAAAAGGCTATAGGCACCAAGTTCCACACGAGGGAGATGACAGCATCTTTAGGATACCTTTTAGAGCGACCTGTTTTGACGATCATGCAGGGCTAATGTATTCATGTATTGGTGGCTGAGGATCCAAGGCTGAGGTGAGTAACTCAAACCAAACTAAGCCTAGCCTTCTCAACGTTGCGCCTCTCAACTCCCCTCCTCCACTGGTTTGCGTCATTGCGGAAACGGCAGTACGAACACGAACAATTGAAGCAAGGCATGAGGTTACTCGCCGTGTCTCCTGCAACGGATGAAGGAATTAGCCTGCGGACAGAAGGCGAACTCGGTGTGTCCGCTCTGCAACATCATATGGGATAACACCTGCCGCGCACCTATCATCCAGGTAGAAAAATTGTCACTTTGGATGTATGCATCCATCATCGATACATACCCTGACCTTGGAAGGGGTGGCCATGCGTACCGCATTCCAGGTTCTCATCCTACCAGACCCCAGGCGATGATTCCCTGCAGTCGAACGAGCTCTGCCAGTACCACGGCTTCTCTAAGCATTCATCCCAACCAAGGCACGCTACACACTATGCAAGAAACCTTCTGAGTAGGCGAGTGGCGTGTGGAGCACATGAGCCAGGCCTTACCTCATTACTGCGGTGTCCCAGGATACTGGATTTACTATGATCATGCACATCTAAGTGTAATGTACGCCTCTGGTCGCTTAAGTTGGATAATGCCCAGGAGCCTCCACGTTAGACCTCAAGGATACCACAGAATAAATGTGGAGACTGCGACGCATCAGCGCGATCAAACAACGCATTGTGTTGTGAGCCGTACGCTCGCACTACTATGCTCACTCTTGTGGTATTGGAGGAAGGAAGGAAGCTCCCGTTCTTAGTCGCTCGCTAATGCCCACTACGGCGGATGCTTAGCTAATACGGGGCGTCGTCGTGTACCCTCTAGATCATCCCACTGCGTGTACGGGGGTGGGGGTGCACAAGCGGTCTATGATTATGTTCACTACAACATCCGGTATTTTCATATTTCAGCTACTGCAATTAAGGTCCGAAGAGCGCGCAGTTGACATGGAAGAGAAATGAGGCTAAACACTGAACCAAGAGAGACAATCAGACCGAAAATGAAGACTTCGGCATTTTTAGAACAGCGACTAACGGTCACGTATAGGTTGATGACGGCTGGACAAGGAGCAGCCTGCAAAAGTCCGCGCCATCTATCCAGCTTACACACGTTAGACTTCGCGCCCTATCTTGCAAGGTACTTCATCTCAATCAAAAATTTGACAAGTATACGGGGTTCCTATCTTGGGGCCAATTTATGGAACCGAAACCAAGGTGCGCCTTTTTTTCTCTACACGGTCATAAGTGTCTTATGAGAGTCGTTCTATCAGCAGGGGCACGGCCACTATAGTGGAAGCGAATGCCCGTATCACGGTCTCGTTGTCAAACACGATGTCTTTGAGAGTATACCGGAAGGGTCTCGGTGCCTCGGCACGGCCCTGTTAAAGCCGCGCAATATATGGGCGTAATATACTCGCTCGTGTTACCTTGCGTGCGCTTACCTTTCCAACAGTACCGACTGTACGTATATTACTGGATACGTGCTACTTTCGGGAAGCGGTATAAAGTTCGCTCGGCACATGGGCACTCCATCTAGGTACATGGGTCGAGAATTCTCTGGAAGTTGCAGTCGACTATGCAGTGCGACGGCGCCAGTCTGCGTAACGGTGGATGCGGGCTGCGAACGATTTGCAGCGAACAACACACACCCCTGTTCGATTTCGACATCTGAAATATCCAGTCGTCACCATCGGTAGCACGAAAATAACCTTTCAAGCAAAAATCAAGCCTGATATTGAGCCAAACAGGTACTGCCGTACTCCACAGTATATTGAACTGCCAGTCGCCAGAAGAAGGTCATCCGGGCGGTCAACTCCCGACATTCCCGTCCCCGTATTGCGGATGAGCTTCCCGGCCGGAGTTTCAACACGCGAACTTGGCACGCGGAAGTAAACTTGAACACGATAGGCAATCCCACGAAGTTCTGCAGATTAGCCATGGAACGCCGGGCCTGGAGCTGCATGAGCAGGCAGAGAGCCCTGCATATCCTTCATGGAAGTTTGAAAGAACACGATGTTCCGGTACGGCCGGAGAGCGCGATAATCCGCTGTCAGAAGTTGATGTTGCGCTCGTACAACTGCCGCACTGAGGCCGTGTAACAGACTAGATTATGCACCACGAGATTGGTTGCATCAACTGAACGTGGTTTGAGTCCTCCGCGCGTGGCTTGACGGTACACAAAGTGTTCACATGGTCTCAGACCCTCGCGGCGCGAAGGGCCCAAGCAAGAGGTTGGAGGCGCGAATTTGAGAAACGAAGGCGTACGTAGGGTTGTCGTACAAGATCGTGGACCAGTCCTGATGGATGCAAGGTCGCTACGGTACGATAATGAGAGTGAGAAGAGACGTGCACTCACCGAATCAGGAAGTCACGGTGCTACCACTGAGATAATCTCATACCGTTTGTTGCGTTTGGCCAAGCAGCGGCGAACGTGCTTTTGTGTAGTCGTCATATACTGCTTGACGATAACGCTGTGTTCAGCAGCTTTCGGACAGTCCACGAACCTGTCGTTCACCTTCTAGGAAAGAGAGGGATACCGATTGCACGAAAACGAACAGGTTCGCAGATGATGCCATATTAGGAAAAAGTGTTCCCTAACCCATGGTGAG